CTTTCCTGACCTCTTGTGTCTTTCCTTGACACCCGGCTCCGTTCAGGGCTCCCGGCTCATCCCGGAGTTCTTTTGGACCCGTTGTGAGAGCATGTTTCTGCAGTGAGTCATCGTTTCGATAACGCAGTAGCAAACATCTCACTGTTTCTTACAGACATGCGAAATGGCGTCGACCTTACGCCAATTTAAAGCTAACTTGTTACTGCTATGGGTGCAACGTCTGTTTTTCGGTTTGCTTGAAATCCGTGCAGCCCGTGCCATAAGGCAGAATAGCTGAATGGTATTCCGTTTGAGGCAGTTGTATCTCGGTGCGTTGTAGCGTACTAAGACCACCGGAAGATGGATGACAGATTACTGAGGTAAGCATTTACGCGTCAAGGAAATCATGCGTTTGTCCTCACTATGGATCGACAAGGTGTTCAGCTTCTAGCTTCCAATTTGATCCATACATTATATGACAGGTCTCCATTCGCTTCATTATGCTAGTTGACAACGCAGTCTCTTAAAACTTCGCTGGGAGCAGCTCTATGGGGAAATAGTGTTTGAAACCCCAAGCGACCTTAGTGATTATAATGTCAAAGGAGTTCATCAATAGCTTCTGGGGCATCAGCCTTATCCGAGGAAACTTAGTTTCGAACTTTTCCATGCCACGTATTTTCATAAGTGACGCGCCCAGGGCCCCACCACTATATCGTTGTATATTCTCATTGCATTAATCATTTGTATCACCTAATGGGCCGACATAATAGACCTTACTTTCGAGACAGTCACAACACAACTTCAATCGCAACACCTTTTGGAGATTTTGTTTTTAGATTTTGTTTTGAGACTGACACAGGCCAGCGGCGTGTAAACAGCATCAGCTGCCGGTATTCAGGTTGTGCGGACCGCGCTAGGGGCAAATGATGCACTTTTGGTCACATCGGCACGAGCGAACCGTGAGACTTGTTCTGATTTTGTCCGGACCCAAACTAAATAAGTAACTTGAAATGACTGCATGAATGCAAACTTCGTTACCTAATACGTTTGCAACTATTTGAAATAACGCTTCGCGCCTGAGCTCTACCTACTTTTGCGGTCGATTTGTTTTCTTATAAATGCGAGCAACGAATGCCACAGTGCAATCGCCTGTTTGTAATGAGTTTGAACCCCAAACAAGATGCCCACGGCATTCCCGCGAAGGTTGTGCAGAAAAATTAAGGATACCCAAAAGTCGTTATCTGAGGAGCTGCGAGTCATTTGGGTTGCCAAGATCTAATGTTTGTGGTGTGTTGGCAACTTTACAGCGAAGAGGACAAACGTTCCATGCCGAAAAGGCTCGGCCGGCCGGGAAAATTGGCTTGGCCGGCGTTACCCCACCCACGCCGTCACTGCAAAACAACGCAACGGAAGCGCTGGCTGGAAGTTCGAGATAGCCCGGTCATAGGTCAGCCATGCCCTGAAGGGTGCCACGGTCGAATACGAGAGGCGTAGCAAAGCGCTACATGTCGCTTTGGGATAAGAAGCCTCTCAAAAGACGTGCATTTGCAAGTCTCGTGAAGGTCTGTTTAAGTACAGAGATCCCCCGATCGTGATGTTACCTCTCCTTCTCTTTCCCCTCCTCCCTCTCCCCTGCCTCCCTTTCTCTCCCCTCCTGAGGTCATGTCGGCCGCTGCCCAACTCGTTCCGAGAGACGGTGCCGGCCCTGTCGGGTCGGCTCGGGCCAAACGGACGGCGTCCATAAACCCGCCTGCTGTCCACGGATCTGGCGGTGGCAGACGACAGCCGCCGGCCGGCGCCTCTAAAAATGCGGGCTGACGCTCCGACCTGCAATACAGGCATCACTTGCGTCCTCCCTGGCGTTGTCTGCAGTATGAGTACGACCTCCATACCAGAGACGCCGTGTTTTGTCACCACACAGGCGAATGGGAGGTGATATCCCGGCCCAAGGCGTAGCGGCGGCCGCTAACATCTCCGCATTGTAGTGCTCCGTTTGACCCCGGGGTTGAGTGCTTGACCTGGACGGCTGTCCGACGCCGTCCCACCGCAGCGTGCTGCCACGCCGCCGGCCAGCAACCTCCGGCGAATCGCGCCAGCAGCGCTTCTTGCGAACTATCGCACCAGACCGACTGTGACTGAGCTCGCCCAGCGCTGTGCTTTAGCCGAATCACCTGAAGCTCTTCACTCGCGGTGAATGGAATGGATTCCGGCTGCGTGTGGCGCCGTAGGTTTTGAGTTCTTCGACGTACTTCAGTGCCGAGAAACGCAGATTTATTCCAAAATATATTATTTCGAATCGATGCCAGGACTGAATTACATGGAACTTGCAGACCATCGAGATTAAGCAAGAATACATAGTGTGTTCCATTTATTGTTCACTGAATGTGCAAGAAATTATGCTAAGTCACTCGTCATTTTGCTAGATCTTGTTGTCCGCTAACAAACATCTAAGTCAATATTCTGAATCAGCAAAGCTATAACTTCAAACGAGGAATGTCGGCCCGCCGCGCGCGGTCCGCGGCATTGTCGGTTGCCGCCCACCGCCCGCGCAGGCCGTTGAACGCCATGTAGTGTTCCTAAAAATTACCGCCGCTCCGAAAGCAGAAATGCTACGGACACGTTTGTGGTGTTGGACACGCGCAAGCCCCAGAGATATGCCCCGTGTCTTACTGAAAAATTTTTCCCAAATGTATGCCCCGTGTCTAATGCCGGAAAAGTATCCTCAGATAACTTAAGCGCGTTTCATCGCTATCGCTCCCCCGCCCCCTCCCCCCCCCCCCTATCAGGGAGAGGGTTAACGCATCCACAAATTTCCCAAGGGGAGCATGCGCCTTGCTCCGCCCCAACCTCCACGCAATACACCCCTGCAGCCTTTCGCGGGGGTACTTCTGGATGACGCAGAGTGCTCAACTTTTGCCAGATGGTGCAGAATTGCTAACGGGGAAAATCGTAATCTTTCAGAGCACCATCTCGAATGTTTTGACAATAACTGCTGATATCGTCGGAGGCTGATTCAGCACCGCACACCGTGGCCACGTGCTTCAGGGTTAATTAATGGGGCTAGATCAGACCCATGCGAGCATGCAGCTTGTCATCCTAACGAGGCAATTTATTTTGTGCCACTTTGATACTGATCAGACGAACCGCTGCTGAGGTTCATGTTGATCTTTGCCTTGCCTGTCTAGAGATAAGGGTGATCGATAGCGAAACGACGTAGCCCCTGCTGGTTGTTCTAACTGATGTCAATGTGAGAACTCCCGACGTTTAACTTATCGGACCGTAAATAAATGATACTCATGATTTGGTGCGTTACGTTGTTGCAATACTTTGATGCACATGCTTACGGCACAAAATTGTCTAGCTTTGAATGTGGGATGTCAGAATTCGAACTCAAGTAAGGTAGAACGCCATCATTTACGCCCATTTTACACGCACGACGTCACCATTTTGGTTTCCTACCAAAATGCGGGATGCCGTTAATTCGGCCAACTTGCAGACGCCGTATGAGGCAAAAAATAAAGATACCATTATGATGGTCTCGTCAGATCATGAATGCACACAAAATGTTTGACCTTGGGCCAAATGTGAGGTAATCAGAAGTCGCGAAAAGGTGAAAAAACGGTCGTTCTGATAGATGCATTTAAAAGCTATGTTAACGTGTCAAGACGAATTTTGAGAGCACGGAAATAAACGTTAAAGCCGTTTGAGTACATGTGAACCATTTCTGCTCCCCCACATGAATCAGATCAGATAAGGTCGTTGTTTAAAGTTGGTATACCAGTAGCTTACAAGAAACAACGTGCTTACAATGTGCTTTTATTTACAACGTGCTTTTGGCTAACCTTATTTTATTGGATGCAGCTGTGTGACAAAAATATTCCGCACACAAAAATACCACTCATGGGTGACCTTCAGGTCATCTTAGGTCAACTTGGGTCGAAGTTATAAAGCAAGCAATGAAGCAAATCGTAGTTGCTAACCGGGTCTACATGACCAGTATAATGTTGTTTTTTTCTGTGATCAGAAATACTGTATTTTACGTATGCATGCATTCAAGATCGCATAGCTGAGTTCTACGTTATACCTAGTCCCTTCAACGCTTGACAGCGTATTTGTAACAAACTGAGACCAGGTACGTTAATGTGTGAAAAAAGACGTCACAGCTTCAGAGACACGAAAAGGAGATGGTCACACGCGTTGCACTCGTCCGTCTGGCCTCGCCGATACTGAAAGCAACGGCTATTGATCTTGAATAACCGTATATTACCTAGGATGCCTTCACGTGACCAATTTTGACGTCATTGCGCCTCAAAATAATATCACGACATGTTTTTAGTGAAGAAGTTGAATTCTGCGTCCAACAGTACGTGTTGAAGCTGGGCATTTTGAGCTCGGCATGTGTTTTGCAAAAGGCACCCCAAGAAACTGTTTATGACCTGGGCCAAAGCCTTATGGTCTGTGGTCAAGTGATGGCCATGCATGCAAGTTCGTACTCTTTTCGCCATAATCGAACACCAATAATAAACAAAAGTACCTGTAAATTTGCATTATTTACGAAAAGTAGCAAAAATCGATCTGACTTCAGATCACTGACCTCATATTTTCCCCTCAAAATCTGAAAGTTACAACTTGTAGATACTGTGAAGTTCTATTACTATAACAACCTTGAACAACGGTAACTAACCTACAAAAAAGTTGTGTGGTCAGTTTTCTTAGAGGTTGACCTCTTTGAGCTGACATACGTCACTGATCTTCGTAGGTCAAAGCTTCAAAATTACACAACGGATGCCGAATTTATGAATGAACGTATACCGGAAATTTCGTACCGCTGAGAGGGCTTATTTTTTACCTGTGCTAGTAAAACCTGCTGAGGGGAAGTGAATTCCCGCCTCCCCGCCCCCCTCCCCCCCCCCGGCCGGATGCGGGTTAAAAAACCCAGACTGTGTGATGTGTGTGATCAACCTCAATCTGTGCCGTTCTGTGTGGTCTCACTAATGACGCCATATGCCTGTGCGTTCCAGGCCCAGGCTCCACATCGGCAGGGTAGCCTCTGGTGCCAGACCGTTCGACGGGCGACTGGCCTGGCTGGTCTGATGACCGCGCGGAGACCCGGATTTCCCGTCAGCTGAGACCCAGATCTCGCGTCGGCTGAGACCTGATCTCGCGTCGGCTGAGACCCGGATCTCGCATCGGCTGGGACCCGATCTCGCGTCGGCTGAAACCCGGACCTCGCGTCGGCTGGGACCCGATCTTGCGTCGGCTGAGACCCGGATCTCGCGTCGGCTGAGACCTGATCTCACGTCGGCTGAGACCCGGATCTCGCGTCGGCTGAGACCCGGATCTCGCGTCGGCTGAGACCTGATCTCACGTCGGCTGAGACCCGGATCTCGTGTCGGCTGAGACCCGATCTTGCGTCGACTGAGAACCGGACCTCGCGTCGGCTGAGACCTGATCTCGCATCGGCTGAGACCCGATCTCGCGTCGGCTGAGACCCGGATCTCGCGTCGGCTGAAGCACACCGGGGCCCCCAGGCCGCCGCAGTGTGATGAACGGCTCCGTACCCTCGCCGACCGGCTCCGTACCCTCGCCGACCGGCTCCGTACCCCCGCCGACCGGCTCTGATGGCCCGACGACGGTGGAGGTGCCGGATCTGGCGTACGCCAACGGGAGCGTCAACACCAGCGACGGCAACTCCACCCACTTCGACAACTTTTACTTCTATGAGGTCAGCAACTGTATTTTGCTGAGGATGTCCCCGCATCCCTTCAATCGAAGCGGAACTGGCTGTTTTAGTACAACGAGGACTTGTGGGTTTTGAAATCTCACGTATTAAGCAAAGGTTACATGCTTTGCAGTACAAGATCGATGAAACAACAATCTGAGGCTTTTTTGCGTTCAGTACTCTGCAAAGGTCAAACGGGCATATCATTATTTTGTAGGCAAGCACAAAAATGCATTCAAAAAGTTTTGCAAACGTCTGAGGCAAAGTGTTTTCTTTGTCCGTTAAGTGCGTAAGGAAACTGGTAACATCGTATTGCTAACTTCGAAGCGAAGGGGCCTCGCGTTCGAGAGAATTGTGAGTCACATGCGTATTTTTAACCCTGGTATAATGTTTTGCTTGAGCCTCCCGACTGCTATGCTTTCTAGAAGCTAGCACTTTTACAGTCACTAATCGAAGGTCCAGGTAGTATTTGCAAGAAGCGTCAGTCTTCAACAGCCATGCTGTATAAATTGGTAGGGATATGCGCTTGAACGGTTTGACCAAGTATGTCCGTCCTGCAATATTTCACTCTTCTTTTGGAATAGCTGAAAAGGTATAATTTTGAACTTGCAATAACAATGGCGGTACGTAGCTCAAAACCGGGTCCAGAGCTCGACGAATCGGCATCGCAGTGACACTAAACTAACTTATGCTTACAGGAAGGAAACGCACAATCATGTCCTCAAAAGATGCATCAATGGGTGCCGACGGCAGAACGCTGAGTCGTGCAAATCTTGGAGCCATCCGCTACAGCGCGCTGTTCGGGATTGATGTCAGATCTTATCAGCCAGCCAGCTGACAAAAAAAAACGTGAACATGTCTGCACATTTTTGACGAATGCACCGGTTGCAATCCACTTTGAGATACCAAAGCCTTTCTTCCCAGATGCCAGTGCGCCAGTGATTGACCGGGAAGCGGCGAACGCCGCGTTGCTGGAAATCTATCTGATCCCTAATACCAGACGCTGCCGGCGATACCGTACGAGACTGAGCATGAAGGACATGCATCCGCGTAATCCTGTTTGCTGTGACAAGCATCCGCCCAAATTATTGTCATTTTGCAAACCTTTGATCAGGGTTGCCAAAAATGTTGACAAAACCGTTGAATATATGACCTTCATTGATTCAATTACCGAACGTGACCAGACTCGTGGCCACCCGCTTTCAAACCGTTTATTCATGTGTTAGCAGGAATGCTACATCAGTGAGCTTCCGCCTGTCAAATTGTCCAGAACCCGCGCATTGATCGAGCCCAGGGACATCGGCTGCCAAACGTGTCATGCTCCATTAGCCTAGCTTTCGGCGTTATCTACACGATGACAGCTGACAACTGCACGCCCGTTGACGTCTCGCTCTCGTCCTACGCCCCTTCAGGCGCTCAACGCGTATGAAGCCGCTCAAATGTCACCACGCAGCACTATCGCATGCTCAGAAGTATGATGCCCGAACGAGGCGTGGTGCCTGAGTTGGCAAGCGCAGCATGACTTTGCTACTAGCGGGGCTTCCTTGCAGTCAGCTGTCCTTCAGGTGAAGCCGTTTCGTCCCCAGGTGGAGCAGCTCACATTCCTCTGCATCATGTTCGCCGTGATCGTGTGCGCCAACTCGCTCCTGCTGGTCAGCCTGGTGTCGGCCAAGTCGAGGAAGTCCAGGACCAACTTCTTCATCATGCACCTGGCACTGGCCGGTACGTCCGTTCCTTTGTTAAAATACCTATCGGGCTTGTTTTTTCCCTGGTCTGGGAGGAGCCCAGACTAAATGCTCACGCTTTGATGATAGTTGTTTTTACGAGCGCGTCGGCTACCGGGAGCGTTCGATCAAAAACATCACTTATCTAAATTTTCAGAGCTGTAACGCAAATAACGTCGAAATGCAGACAGAGACACGAAATAAATATCTACGGAGGTGAAATACTAGAGGAGCACAAGAGATCTCTTTCTCTACAGATTGAACGTTATGGTGCCAATTCATGGAGTGCAGTTATTGGATAGCAGTAATTGCAGCATAACTGTAAAATCAGGATATCAGCTGAGCTTTCAATCTGAATTTTAAGGTAATATACCCTAATATTTTTCGCGGTCGAGATCCGTTGACATTGTCGGCATTACTTCGTGTCACCAAGGTTTTATTTCTCGGGATTCGTTTCGCTGGGGGATTGATTCCCAGCAACACCTCAATTGAGCACCACATACGGATTATGTTACCAATGCTACAGTACTTAAGCTCTTATGCTGCAATGCAGATTATTTACTTCGGGTTATACCAACGATTCAATATGTAAGCTCTCAGGCTGCGATGCTCAACCAATTACTTAGGCTGGCAAGTTAGGCTTAGACAAACAAAACCAGTGTCCTAGAATTGCCGGCTTTGGGTGTAAAGCAACACCCTAAGAGGAGGAATTTTTCACTCCTTTTCCCCATATTTTAAGTGAAATTTTACTCCTCCCTGACATTGTCTAATCACACATGCCAAACCCTTATTTCCCTTTCTGAGGTTTTCAGATGTCATCGAAAACCGAGCTCACTTGAAACCACCAAGCATGAACGAGGCTCCACAGAACCTGGACACCTATGCCTATGTCCTGCCTCACCTACATGTGAATCATGTCTATCTATGCACAGAGCAAGAACGCCAGGTGCCTCCAAGCCCAAGAACCCCAGCGACTCCAGCCGCTTGCACGCATGAAGTTTGTTTTGTTTACAAAATGCATCCCAATCGGCAGCTGTGTGCCGAACGCAAGGTTTTCATGCCTCCCCTATTTTTTTGGTCTCACCACCACACCACGAAAGCAGAGCCTGATGAAAATACCAGCAAGGCCTGGTAGATAATTTACTCGCCGCATTTATTTTTTCTCGAGGAAACCTGAACACTAAATTGCATCACTCCGTAAACGCAGGAGTGAAAAACGCAAGAAATGTCATCGAAATTAAATTTGCAGGATGATTATCGCCATTTGGGCACTCATGTTAACAGATTTTAAGTCAAATCAGTTGATAACAACATTTTGCCAGAAAAGTATCAGTCTTTATATTTATCAAACTACTTTTGTTTTTCTTGATATCATACGAGCGTGATATCAACACCACTTTATTCTTCCTTCCTTTTTTGTTGCCTTTAGGGTACCAACTGCTGCTTAAAATGTTAACCAATTTCTCTGCAAGATGCTCCAGCTGCAGACTTGTACATATTTCAACGTAAATTGGATCAATGCGCCAGCCGCCCAAACTTGTTTGATATGCACCCAAGGGCGAAAAATTCACAGGGAATGAGGGAGACAATCTGAACCACGGAAGTTATTTTTACCGCCATTTTTGCCCTGCCAAACGCTAGGTTAACCTTTTTTTGTTCATGGCGGTGCTCAATAATTATAAATATAAGTCTATCGAGTGTCTAACTTACCAGGCTACATGACAAGGCTATCCTAATGCTGCCATACAGAGCTTTGGGACAGGCCTGACGCAGCCAACGCAGAAGTGTTTGATGGCGAAAGTCTGCCCTCTGGAGATGTATATCATGCACACCTCTTACTTGTTCCGCATTTTAATCTCGTAGGTTGGTGGGCATGATTGATATTTATATTTGGGGGGCGGGGGGGGGGGGGCGAGTGGGATGAATGCCTGCCAGCAGACCACGCAAAAGGTGCTGACTTTTTTTTGGTGAGCAGGAAGTAGCCAGTAAGTCTCCTGTGGACCAAGTAATTGCTCACCTTACCTGCTATCAACGCATGATTGGTAACTAGAGTTAGACATTTTCTGTTTTAACCCATCGAGTTTTATCCCAAGACAAATAATGATCCCACAAGGTATGCAATGGGCTTATTTTGTTCCATATTCTTGATTATTTCCCCAAAATTTCTTGAAGTGGTGCCTCATGACTGTTTTAACCAGATGTTTTCTATAGTTGACATGGTTTGCTGACTGGTAAATGACTGTACTGTATATATGCACTAGATTTTTAACGCAGGCATACTCTAAGCTGCATAGTAATTATAAGATGAGTTAAATGTTAGTATGTAACAAAAAGTCGGACCACCCCATTTAAAAGGTAAAGCCAACACCTCAAACTATGTCATTAAATACAAATAAACAAGCCAAATAGATGCCTTTGCTGCGGCTGAAAAGGCAAGCAGCAATACTGGCATGGTCATCTAAAAGTTATGCTCCTTTTGGAAAAGAGAGATTGTTTTGTGGAGCATACTCATTATTCCCCTTGACATAGGTCAACCATAGCTATCAAAATAAGTTGTTCAAAGGGATTTCAGATGTTTTGATTCGTGTGCTGTCAACTTTGTCTGATGGCAACAAGCATACACAAATAAACTGAACAAAAATGCAAGTTGAAAGCATCCAAATATTACCTTTATCATGTTTTTATCACAAGTGCTGCCGTCAACAGACAGGTGAGTTGAGATGATGTTCAACATATGGGCTACTCTAAGATAAGTTAAGTTGGTTAAGTGCATGGCAAGAGGCAAAAGGAATTGTGCAAGAATCAGTAACTCACAACTGCTGCTGTGATACAAACAGGTCAGACAGGATGTGATGGAGTAAGGCCTCTTTAGGTTAGGCATAATTAGGCTTCTTTCATGGAAAAAAGCATTGGTATTTTGTAAGAAATAGTGACAAAATGTTTGTTTTCCCTGACCCCATCTTAAGAGAACCCAGAGGTATGTCTATTGTGCTTGACTTGGTAATGGGCTGATGTGTATGAGTCCGAGGTTTTTTGTTTGAGTGTTTTATGCTTGTTGAATTTTCTGCTGTTATTTTGTTACTTAATTTATTTGCTTTGCTCTGTGCTTAGAGTGCTGTGGAAGGGAAGTGCAAAGTGCAGCATCAAATAATTGGTGTCAATAATTTTTATGCTCATTACACTGCCATGAAATTATTATGTTTTGATGTATTCTGTTTCACTTTAATGGCCTAAGATGTTAAAAAAGAAGTTTTGTCAGGTCTATCATATTACGTTCATGCCAACTTGAAATAGATGTCTTTGTTTGCTGAAGTATCAGTCAAAAGCTCATAAGTTCAATCTTTTGTTAATTGATTTTTTCCACTCCCGCACGATCTTCTTGCGATGGAAGCTTTCACTCCCACCTTAGACCAAAGCGAATCTAACTCCCTGAGCAAATTAATATTTGCCCGCATTGCGTGTACTGTAATTTCTATCCTATATTCTGCCCGGCTTGCAATCAATTAATCGATCAACGTCTTTCAAAAGTGAAACATCATGCTGAAACATAAGACGGAGTTGAGGCTAATCAGCAGCGGCGGCTTATCAGCAGCGAGTGTAAAGGTATTCTCATCTCATTAGTGGATGGATTCGTGAGTAATGCAATATTCCATATGCTCTGAGCTGTGTGCATTACTCGTAACGTGAAACTCGCGTTTGATTGGCGAGTGATCAGTGGAAAATCGTCTCTAACGTGGACGGAGCAGTCAGGGACACAGCCAGGTAGGCACGTCCCACCCGGGTGAGACTTACGGGTAAACCCCCTTCTCCGCCGGAGAGCAGGGTGAAGCTCATGCGTGACGAAATGATTTTTGCCCCGAGTTTCAGCGTCTGTGCGGGCTTATGACTCTCTCTTGCAGGGCGAGCGGCGGATCTATCGAAGTGCAGAGAAGCCTGTTTTCATGTACTTGTATCTACTAATGTACTTGTGACCCCGGGTACAGGTTTGCAACGTGCAGTTCTCCCCAAAAAACCAATGTGTATTTGATAGCTCTGTTTAATAAGAACTTCCTGGCATATTTAAGCTTCGTCATTTACAACATAAGTTATTCGATCCCACCATGTTCAGACACCAATACCATGTAAAGGGGATCACCACGCGTAGACACGAAATGGGGCAAAATGGCTTGCCTGGCTCACAATTTTTAGGAGGTCCTCATAATTCTGCCTGTTGACTTTGCCTACTATCAACTGGTATTGCACCAAAACTTGGTGTCTGCGTTCTCTAAATAATGAGGAAGAGCTGCGTAATTTTCCTTCTATTTTTGGTGATCAACCTGTATTTATCGCTTTTTCCGCCTAAATGCAAAGGTTGCATACACTCCGTTCTTTTGGCCCGAATGTCCCAACGGGTCGACTGTATTCCCGTGTTTATTCCTGCAATCCTCCTTTGCGACCTTTTCGCGCTCCGAAATCCGACATGGTGTTTTTCGATAGACCTGCTTATTTTCAAAACGCTGATGTAATTATTCCGTTTCCTATGCATGCTCGTCGTTTTCACACAAGACTCAGGCAATACTAGGGTGTTTTTATTTTCGGGGCCACTCGCCCTTACCCAGTTAAGCAGTTCTTACAGCAGTGCTCTTCCGCTGCCCGCACGTGACTGAGGCTCGCTCTGGTGCTTCGGCCGCGGCGGACTCGTCCGCAGTCCACCTCAGTGCTCTGTCGCAGCCAGACTCGACAGGCTCCTGCCTGGGCCAGAGACCAAAGCTAGAAGTCTAGCGGTGGTAGATCTGGACTGCGAGCTGAAGTCTAGCTGTGGTAGATCTGGACTGCGAGCTGATCAAGCATGACCCACCAGCTGGCTAATAACGCGGTCGTCAAACCTGCTGCACTGGAAAACAAAATTACACCCAAAAACCCCATGTGCAGGGTCAGCCAAATCGCATCCCTACACAGTGTCGTTTTAGAGAATGATGATAACACCTTTCAAGGAGAAATCAAGGAGTTATTTTACACCGAAGAAAGGACGTCCCCCCCCAAAAAAAAACCCGGTGCAGGGGCGGCCAAATCGCTTCACTGTACGGTGTCGTTTTGGGGAGTGGTGTCAAATTCGTTTACAGGAGACTTTTGAAATTATAGTGGTATCCGTTTGACCTGCTGATGATACCTTAAGATTAAAACACTCTGTAAATGGGGTCGCGTCTGCCCACCTCGCATTCTTTAAATGCATATGGCCAACCGACCGTCACACCCGTACAGCTTGCATTCCCTATGGTCAGACACACACAACATGTGAACTAGTCAAGGTGTATTTTGACATTTAAAACGTTCAAACCGTGGGAGATCAGCTACAAGCTGACCCAACTGTCCAGAATCAGTTAAAAAAACAAAAACACATGGACCAGGGAGTTAAACTACAAATCATCTCCGATTCGACACTTCAAATTATATCCGCGCATATGGCCACGCTGACCCCCACCAAACTGTCCGGCATCAACAAAGTGACCACGTTGACCCAAGGGTAAACAGTCTTGCCACAAATGAAGACTTGGCCAAATTCGTCAGACTGACGCGACGAAAAATCCCTTAAACTCGACAAAAATGAACTATAGCGACCTGGTTACATGAGCATCCGAACTGCGAAATCAGCTGGCAACTAAACAGAGGGATCGGCATCACCAGCCACGTACAGACCACAGGAGACCTAAACGCTATAGTTGAACACCTAACAAGTAACCGGGGTTGACAAGCCTCCAACCGAGAAAAATACAAAGGGTCGTGCCGGGGACCGGCGACAGTGTCAATTCAGATTCATTACACGCACTCTTAGCGCGAACAAACCTACGTTTTATATCAGCTCGCTCGTCCACTGAAAGCGCCTTTGCAACAGCTCCTGGTCTCTGTTCAGGGCTCTTGGACCCTGCCTGCCTTTTTTCTTGGATCCCACATTGAATACCATCAAAAAGTGCGTTGTTTGCTAAGCACTTCAGTGAGAAGAGGCGCTGGTATAGAACGAACAGCAGGAATGCCTCCTCCTGGTCTCGTACAGCGCACACATCAGTGCCCTCCACAACTAGACCATATGGCGGGTCGTCCAAGCAAAGGCACGGTCGAGATGTATCTCCGTCCTCCAGCATGACGTCGCTCCACGCCCCGTCCAAGCACCGGGAACGCTTCCAGTGATCTCTCTGGAACACATCATATTTCTGGAGTACTAGCCATACCGTGGCGATATCGTATATTACGGCCAACACACCTCCAGCAGACTTAATTCTTGAACGGATGTTAGGGTAAATGTTCCGCCTTTGAAGACATTGAAGCAGGCAGCAGGTATTTTCTCCGTTAGTAAGAATTCCCGTCATTACGTCATTGCTTGCTTTTGTCGTCGTATTTGACCAAAAAACTTATTGACAGCCAATTGGCGGCCATTAAGTCTGAATATCGTGCTCACGAAGGCCAGAAATGGGCGGGTCGACAATTGTATTTTGCTTGGCTTTCATCGTCGTTAAGCTAATGGAATGGCAGGATTAAAAGAACGCTTTTATCCTGTCGTAGATGTCAGGGTGACTTTGAAATAATATGCACGTCTTCGCGGACGTGTAGTTAGAAACTGAGGCATAAGCCCCTTATGCCTGAAGAACAGGGCTGGGAACTGCATCGAATGATCTTCAAGATGGCTATTTCAGTGCAAAACCCAATAGATGAGGAACACCATTTTTAAAGGGAATGTTCCAGAAGGGTGAAACACGAATACAATGTTCCAGAAATGTGGAACACGATGGTACGATAACGGGTACAATGATGCAGTCAAACAATGACACATCTAGCTGCATATTTACTAAACAGAGAAATTTTGTCCTCTAGAGCAGTCTTTTCTACTTAAAGTATACCAATAGTTATAAGTGAGCTCGCTTATGATACCTGATGCTTGCTTCATTATCGTATAAGTTGCTAAGTGTATTTGCGAGGAACATTATTCATATAGATAAGGCAGTAGAAATAGCCTCATTCCTCGGAGAAAATATGGGAGAATTGAGAGATAGATGCGTTGATATTTGACCTTGATATTATGTTGATATATGGTTGATATTTAACATGCCTTTATCGAAACAATAGCCGAAGTGAATTCAAAACTGTCTACCAATGATCCCACTCGATTTTTCAGGTTTTTTTTAATCAGCGAGTCTCAGCCAACTTAACTGCGGCTGTGGCTTTAAGTTATTTTTTAACCAAAGGCCGCTGCTGAAGAAATCCTGAAAAATCAAGTAGGATCATCGGCGTGCAATTTTGAACTTATTGTTACCATTGTTTCGATAAAGGAATGTTGCCGAAATATCAACCCATCTATATATCCATTCTATGCGTTTTTCTCCGAGGAATAAGGCTATTACTACTGTCTGATCTTCCTCTATCATCTCTTGTTTATGGTGCTCATTTCGAATATATTGATAGCGGGAGCCGCATTATGCACCTCCCATGAACTTCTTCTAGGCCAGAATAGGTCACTGACCCTGAAATGACCCAGTTTAACATTTTGTTTTAGAAATATACTGCCCAGCGTAATCTTTGTCGCTTATCCAAATACAAAACTCAAAACAGTCTTACACCATTTTTGGTCGCCATGACCTTTAAAGGGTCAAACAAGGTCACTGACCTTAACTGAGCGTGCAACATTTTGCTTAGAACAGTTGCCTAGGTTCTAGGGGCGCTTTGGGACCATTCTGGAATTTGATCTTGTTTGACCTTTTTTGACCCGAAGGTCATGACCTAGGAACCTCAAACATTGGCCTAAGGGAGTTCACGTACAGGTCAACACACTCTGTGAGTCTGATGTGAATTTGGCTTGGTGTGAGTTTGGATTCCATTGCAACGTTAGGATTCGGTGGGTACTAACATTTTGCGCGCCGCTCGTTTGGGTCCTGCATTACGCAGAAGCATTTTCCATTAGTCCCAAGCACTGTCTCCTCGAAGCTGTCAGCTGTTCCAACAAACTCCGGCAGTTCTGCCGCTGTTTCAGTCGGCTTCCAGGCTGACACTTCAGCCTTGTGCTGTGCAGTCAAGGGCGGTACGACAGCACTGGGACGTCAGTTCCCAACGCTCCGCGAGGCGCTCGCCCCGCAGCCTTGAAGAAGATCCGAAAGTATTTGCCGTTGTTGCCGGTGAGATGTGCTCACTGGTCTTCGAATAAGGATCAGCAAGCCCACAGACACACGCGACCAGTTCATTTGTGAATGTCGCCCGCTGCTCTTGCCACGAGGTCGTGCTGGACTTCCCGATACCTGGAACGAGTGTCAGTCGCTGAAAAGGCATTCGCCTTGGTAAGCTGATCAGCTCCAACTTACAGCAATGATGAGTCTTCCGCCGCACTGTAGCGATTTTCCACATAACAACGAATTTCAGCATTATCTATTTTTCGTGCTCGGTAGGCAAAAGTATTTCATATTGTCCCATGGCAGAATATCTATACATTTTGGATGGTATGTGGCTTACTACTATTTGTCGTTTTTTCAGATTTAATCGGCTTAACGACTAAAATTCTCCACTTTTCCGAACGCAAGCGCAAACTTTCATCACATTTGCATGTAATTTGTGGCCTTAGCGAATGTCTTTGAACGACCAGTTCTAGTAAAAAAATCGCGGGCGACTTGCGGGAAACCATTCCCATGCAGCAAATGAGCATGCTCAAAGTGTCATGGTCCGCGCGAGTAATAAGCATGACCAGTTCCACACATCGGTCAAAACTGACGACAGCTTCACGATTTTGTTTATCCTCATAAAAACACATTGGGATTATCGCGAATGACTTCAGGTCGGGAGCATCCTTCGCCATACTCGACAGCAGTGTCTACTCCAGGGCAGTCCTTTTTATTGAGGGACGGGGGGCGATCACCCTTCAGATCCGCTGGGGCCCTCCTGGGGGTGGGTAGACTTATTCATAGGCCACCGGGTCTGTATCAAAATTGGCGATGCCCCGTTCTGTTTTCAAGGAAACACGTCAAGGTCACGTCTCTTTTATGGAGCGTCAGCGACTGCGTTGGTCATATTAACGCTCAGGGGCTATGACACAGGGGTGATCCGAACTTGGGCCCCACGCGGGAGTCCAACACGCCAACCACTCGGCCGTTGCGCCCTCGGTGATGCGCCATTGTGACCCATCGGGTCCACGTGGTTAGCTTTGTCTCCGCTCGTGAAGGACCGTTCAGGACCGCGCACCGATGTGCACAGTTAAAGCTTGTGTGAAATGGCGTGATATTCATTGTTTTGCTCAGACAGACCAACTGGACAATAATGCCGCGTGAACAGGCTGCTACTGTCCGCACGCCACCAGATACCACGTCTGTAACAATCTCCACCCTCGGCAATGTTAGTTCATTTTGCGACACGAGAGATAACCGCATGCAGGTGAACTGACCTAAACTCGATCAAAGCATACATGCACACATCCAATGCAGCCTCTGGGACTTCGTCTTCGGGGGTGCCGCCTTACAGTTCGCTGACCTCAGTGCCGTCCATGATCGTATGGCCGTCCCCATGTGCTTCTGCTTCACCGTATGATCCTCAAACGCCGCGGCTAGAGGAGGCGAAGGGCCGGGCAACACCTGTAGCTACTTAAGTGAAGATTCTCCTGCGGCGGGAATCGAACCGACGTCGGCAGGTCCGGAAGAGACCCGGACCGCTGACGGCGGCGCCTGTCCCTGTGACCGTCAGACCTGTCGGTGGGCCTCATCAGCGTGGTGACGGACGTCGTCTGGAAACTGACCGTCGAGTGGTACGCCGATGGCATTACCTGCAAGATCGTCAAGTATTTTCAGGTGAGGAGCGCCGTATGCCAAGCTGTTGCGGTTGTGTAATTCTAGTGTGAAAGATTAGGATGCAATGTCACGTTGCTTTCAGTGAGTTCATACATCAGGAATAAGGACAATAATAAGAATTCCCCCTTTTAGGAATTAGGAATAACCGAGTAACGTTTGGACCACGGCCGACATTTTCCACACGTTAACAAAAGTGAAAACGAAGGGATAGGCAGAAAACCACATTTAGCGCCTATAGGGCCTGCGTCATCTATACCCCCCCCCCTCCCCATTCCGACACGGGTCACTAGACATGGTTGCCTGCTGCGTTTGGCGACCCCTTGCCGCTATCGTGAGCCAGTAGGAGGCGAGTGCGGTATCTACGACAATGCTCCGAACACGCTGCGTTTGAATTAGTCTTCCTTGTGACAAAACAGTAACCTGACAAGATCTGTTGTTCAAATTGTGTGGCGGCAGCGTCATCCAGAGCTCCCGAATTTCCCCAACTGTTGGAATCGGCGGATTGACCACCAGTTGCCACCCAGTGCCACCGTCCGTCGCCGTCCAATGCCACCATCCATCGTCGCCTATCACCGATATGAGGGCGCGCCGCTGCGTGGTGTCTCTACCCCAGCCACAGACAGCGGTGCGGGCCTCGCCGCAATAGCTGTCGGGTCCGACCCAACCTCGGACGAGCGAGTCACGTCCCTGTCTCGAGTGCGTCGGCCTGTCGCAGCGTCTGACCGCCGACGTCGCAGATCTTTGATCATATCTTCTTGCAATTTGCAGCAGGCATTCACGGCCCAAGTTCGACGGCTAATGTACACGACGGTGACATTTTGAACATCTGGTCGTCGCAAGCTGGCCTTTTTGATTAAGGAGTGGCGGTATTTGTCGAACTTCTAAAGTTTTAAGATATCTATTCGTCTAAAGCGAACTGGGTGGTGATATAGATCACCCAACTTTTTGGTGACGTTTGCTGGGCGGAAGCGGTCTTCCCCGAATAGCCAAACGAGAAGCGATGCTAGAAGTTAGTGCTCTGAAGTTAGCGCCAACTTAACTAGAATAGGTGTCATGGACAGGTTGATGCTTAAGAACATCCCTGTCTGCCTCTTCAGATCGACTATTTAAATGAAAGCCTTCCCTGTGAATCTAGTTGTGTGGAGAGACCAGCTTCACAAAAATGGACGGTTTTTATAGCATCGTGCCAGCGCATGCACCATAAAGCATCGAGTATTGCTAAAACTTCCTGTCCAGAAATACCGTGTATGGAGGGAACAGTGCATTCGAATCCACCCTTTCACCTTTCACAGCGTCATCGAATTGACTGGGCGTACCTAAAATGCAGATAGATAGATACTTTGTTTGGAATCTCCATGTCACGGTTGTTGAAATATCCGCGTTAATGATACAAAAAGGCACTATGAAGGCAAGTCACCACGAACGTGCCATACAAATCAAACGACCATTACGGTGCACGTGCCGATGCATCGGAATCCCTCGATCCATCGCAAAATATATGCACACACTGAAGTGTCCCCTGTCGTTCAGCTAAGGTTTCTCCTGCTCACAAGATGTATAAACAGCAATTAAAAACAACAAAATATTAGCCTCTGAATCATCTTACCCGCCTGAGTCCAACAATACACGTATACCGCCACACATGCTCCATTCACGCAGTCCAGCCACACAGACATCAGCCACCTCGTCCGGCTCCCAGGTCAGAATCGACCGCGTGGTAGTCACCCGACCCAGACGTGACACATGACCGCACGAGGAGGGCCTCAACCATATGGACGACGCCAGCTGATCGTAGCAGTCTTTTAGCATTACCGGTACAAGACACGACACTACACACGCCGCGCCTAGATTTGTTTAAGTGGTGCCTTCTGCCCACGGAACACGGCTATGTTACACTCCACCCGCGTGCAGTCTAGGGATCACACCGATCGTTTGCTTGAGCAGACGGCGGACCGGTGTCAGTGGGGCATGTTTCCAGCTGTTGGCACCTCGATCTAGAACACAGCGTGGTGCGCGCTCAGCACGCACACGTGGCAGCTACAGCTGCCTATGATTGACCACTTGGGCATGGCGGGCGGACCATGTGGAGCGGCTGCCGGTCCTTTCGCGCATGATCTCCGACGCATTTGGTGCCGCAAGAGGGCGGCGCACAATCCCGATGTCATGCCGCTGCATGCGCATACCGTCAACCCGTCCCGCTCTCCTGCGCTCGTCGCATTGGGGTCACGTGATCTGGGCCTGTCACGACTTCTCAGGGTCGGCGATGGCTCCTCGGGTTAGAAATCCACGGATGACGCGCTTACAGACCCCCGAACGAAAAGTGCGAAGAATGACAGCTCTGTTCTGTCATCAGCTATCTGTTACAAACAGTAATCTGCTACGTGCACGTGCGTGTTGGACGTTAGTGTCGGTGCGCATGGCTGGACATGCTGCTGACATTATCAGCCACCTGCCGGGCCACCAATCCGCCTGTGGGGTAATGCGTCTGCCTGGCGGCGGTGCGCCGAGGTAATATATCCCGGATCCATACGCTGACATCTTCCGCCCGGTCGGCAACAAGCTTGATTAGTCACAGGCCGTCTGGTGTCGGCATGAGAGGCGCGGTATCAGGACTTAGCTCTGCCCCGCGCTATGCTGACGTTGCATTGTGTGACTTCAATTACATGGGGTAATTGCGTCGTGTTACTTCGATTACATGGGGTAAAGCATGACCGCTGACGGGTCACTTACTGACATAAGTGACCCGTCAGCGGTCACGCTTGGCACCGGCTGCTCGTAGTGATCTGTTTTTTTTTCAGATTTGTCTGTGCGTGTGTTGTGTGTGTGTTATCCAGAGACACATATATGTGCGTTCCACAACAGCCCTACATATTCCTCACCTTTTCAGCTGTGGTGCTGTTCTGAATTTGGCTGAGTAGCTTTGGAATTTCTATACGATGGGTGCCACAGTCTCACGATCTTCGGTCCCACAATATCGGTTTTAACTTTTGGTTGGCTTTAACTTCCGTGACTTGTTTTGTGCCGCGGTGCGTGTAGGCGGGTACTCACAGTCGCCTGCTTGTATGCTATGGAAAATCGAAAGAACAGCAGCTTGAAGTGATTTTTATAGGCAAACGGTCAGATTAAAAGTGGATGGTTGTAGAGGCGTGACAAGTACACAAGTTGTGAAGAAAAGGTGCAGTTTTCCATAATATGTGCTTGGAACGTAAGAAATGGAGGTCCAAGTCTCATGAATTTGAGTGGGCATGCCCATTCGTTCATAGGTCTGAACTCAGGCAACCTCAACCATTGGAACCAAATGGTTCAACAGTTTTCGCTTTCGTTGAAAAAAGCATTTTGAACTTAATAAGCTCAAGGCTGCAGTGTGAATTAGTCAGCGTGGAGGACCAGCCAAGGACCGAACCGAGATCCAGCTAGGCCGTAAACGTTCATTGGCCTGACTCGCCCCTTGAAGTCAACGTCGCACCGGGCGCATTACTCACATCCACTGCGCATGCGCTGCACGGCACACTTTCAGGTGATACCGCACGCAAGGTCTGATCATTTCCTACGCACTGATGGGTCTTTTCGTCCGGAGCCGGTAGCGCAACCATTGCAGCGTTGAGAAACGCCGGCTGGAATCGCGCACATGGCCTCCACATACCATCACCCAATCGCGGCTGGCGTGAAGGGCACGACGCCCGTCCCCCATCAGCTGCACGCGCGCCACGTCTGCAGCGGAACGACAGCACGTGTCGCCCAGAAGACCTCCGTGGCGGCGCGGGTGGCTCGGCGGCGGCCGCGTCAGCGTCAGCGCTGACCGCGGCCGGCCCGTGTCGGCAGCGACAGCGCTGACCTCAGCGGGCCCGTGTCGCCGGCGTCAGCGCTGACCGGGGCCGGCCCGTGTCGGCAGGTGACTGGTGACCTTCTCATCCACGTACGTGCTGGTGGCGCTCAGCATCGACCGCTGCGACGCCATCATCCACCCGATGCGCTTCATCGGCAGCTGTGAGTAACTGGAGCCGACCCGCGGGAGTGCTGGGTGTGGGCGCGGAGGCAGCACATGTGCGTGCTTTACCTGGGCGGTACCTATGGTTGGAGACGCAAGGTGTACTGTACTTGAGGCTCCAGCTTGAGCGCACCTGACTGCGAGCCCGATAGGGCGCCGGGTGAGGAATTCATCACCTGGATGCTCTAGATACGTTGGTTGCATGAGCAGTCATCAACGCTTGATTGCCAAAGGTAGGGACGTGCCGCGCCACTGCTTTGTATCGCTGGTCACGCCCCTGACGAACAGAGCGGCCTGACGGCGCGTACAGCATTTAGGCCCGTCAGATAGTGCTGTTCGTAGAATGACCTGTTAGCTGGTGCGGGCTGGGATGTGGTCGGCAAATGGGACAGTGTAGTAAAACCAGTCGACTTGGTGGAAAATGTGGGCATCAAAAATGGGTAACGATTCACGCAAAGCTTGGTGCAAAAAGAAGATGTTTTTGACTGAAAATTTTGTTTTGAAAAAATGTTGTTTTGATTGGGCTATCCCATAGTTTAGAGTAGGTGCGCCCGTTTCCTAGTAGCAGCATTTAGCCTGGCATTAGTTAAAGGACATTCCATAATGGAGAGTTTTGGTTGTGTGCATGATATGAAATATTGTGTGATGAAAGAGGTTTTCGGTGACAGGCTGATTACTGATGATGCTTCTGGTCATCGGCTTCAGTACCATCTTATGTCATTTGGTATGGCACTACGCTGCTGGCGACAATTTTGCCTCCAGAAATCTGGTCGGCAACAAAAAGTACACTTTTACCATCCTTGAGACGGGGGTCGCAATTTTCTGATTGTTTGTTTATTTGCCGGTATACGCACAACTAATGGGCCTACTCGCATATCGCTGTGCTCAAAGCCAGATGTCCGGCTACCTCGCATCGGAATGCGCGGCAGATTTACACTGGATCTGGCTCGGCCCCAAAACAGTTTTTACGACCGCTAAAAAGATTGCAGCATCTCCTGATCCATTAGCCGCTGAAAGCAAGCATTGCACGAATCGTAATTTGTGTTGACGCATCGTGAGTATTTCATGGTCTGAGCTTACTGAATACAATTCCCTCGCTATTTGTGGGGTCAGAGACAGGGCCGCGTTTATACGCCACACGTGCTGCCGAAACGTTCGCGCCATTGCCGAGTCGGCGGTGCAGAGGCGCGCCGTAGCCATGGAGGCGCTGTCAGAGGGCGCGCCGTAGCCATGGAGGCGCTGTCAGAGGCTGTCCACGCGTCATGCCGCCGGAACAGCCGCAGAAGGCCGGACGTTCAGTGCACAAGAGCGGGGCGCCGGGGGGCAGACGCTGCACATCACGGCGCCCCGTGTCGCAGCCTTTAAAGGGCATGCTCCATCTTTGAAGATATTAAAGCAAGCGTAAGATATCATGAAACAAGCTCACTAATCACTACTGGTATACTTTTAAGCAGATAAGACTGCTTCAGACGACATCATTTCCCTGTTAAGAAAGTATCCCCCTCGATACGTCACTGTTTGTTTGCATTATCATGCCTAGCAAAACGGCATTGAGTGAGAGCCAACTGACGGCCGTAAAATATTGAAATCGTCCTCACGGACCCACGTTATGCACAACTCAACCATTATATTTGTATTTGCTTCAATCGCTGCATGGCTTATAGAGTAACATGATTTCAATGGCATTATTCACCATATTAAGGTGTTAGGCCAAGATGGCGTTGTTCATAATGACGTCATAATGCCAAGATGACCTGACAGTACGTTTCTCCAAATAGTTTGCCATATATGCGGTTGTATACTTCGGGAACTGGAGGGGTCTATGTTTTAAGAAGAGCAGGGCTGTGAACTGCAAGAAATGATCTTCAAGATGGCTATTCCAGTTCAAAACCCCATGGAAATGTCGAACACTCTCTTTAAAACAGCCTCGCCAGCTACTGCCCGGACAGCGCAGAATGGCTGTCGGCGCGGTCGGCACGATCAGTTCCCGGCCTTCGCTCCAGGTGAACCCCGGCATGTACCGCGTGCACCGGCTCCGCCATCTATGCATTCCATTCTCGCCCTGCAGTCCTTCCTGTCTCCTACCTGTCACCCGGCCTCCCTTTCCATCCGTCCTCCTTCGGTGATGCCGTTCGATGCCGCGCAGCGCCTCAGCCCTCGCTGGGCGCGCGTGATGCGCTGGCGGCGCGGATGCTGTGCCGCAGCGTTAGGCTACCTTGCTGCGAGCCTTCTGTCGCGGCGCGGCATTACGATGCTGATGTAGGAATGTCAAACACAGGTCAGGTCTGACCAAGGCCTCTTATATTACGACGTTGTCATGCGCTGTAGCTAACATGTCGGGCTGTGGGGGGGGGGGGGGGGGAGGGCAGTTTGAGCCCCTGAGATCTCACAGGAACTAAGAAGGCGAGAGACACCACATTCACAGGGTGTGTTGGCCAGTACGTGAATTTTTTTGGTCAAAGTTTGGGCCTCCTAGGTCATGACTTTTGGGTCAAATAGGGTCAAACAAGGTCACACTCCAAGCTGCTCTCCAAAATGTCTTCAAAACCAAATCCCTCCTCTAAGCAAAAGATAACATTCTTATTCAAGGTCACTGACCTTGTTTGACCTTTCGAAGGCAATGGTGACCAAAATAGCAGAAGACTGTTTTGAGTTTTGCCTTTGAATAAGCAACTACTTCCTAAAAACAAAATGCTAACCTGGGTCATTTTTGGGTCGGTTATCTATTCTGACCTATAAGAAGTGCATGGAAGATGTCTAATACAGTTCCTGTCATCAATAAATTCGAAATGAGCACCAGAAACTCCCCCATACAGCCAGCCCTGGAGTAATAAAACAGCTTGGTCTTGATTTTCGTCTGACCTTCATATCTGACCCTAGGTCAATATAACTTATTCATGCAATTTATGTGTTCTCTAAGAAACTATCTCAGAGATGTATGACTTTGTCTAACACTCCGCTGTTCCATCAGATTGAACAATTCTCTTGAAATTAATTACGCTGAATCCATGGCCTGGATTTCACCTGCTGTAGGTTAGCGACCTTACAAGGTACATCCAATTTTTCGATACCACACGATCCACTATTCAATTGTCTACAGCTATGCAAAATTTGGCGCGGCTACGTCTCGTCGTTCGGAACCTTTTCCCGAAAAAAACCTTGAATTTTGACTCTCAAAGCCGGCGTTATCCAGTTGGGACGGCAGCCCCGAGACAAGGGGCCGTCCAGCGCGCCGTCCGGATGCCAAACCGAGGCAAGCCCACCGTTGTGAAGGATGAGGTCAGCTCGCCTGAGGTCATTGATTGACTGGCATCCCACGCCACCGTGCGACGATGGGAGGGGGGAGGGGGAGGGGCAGCTCTGGCCTGTCCATTGTTCTGTACCTGGTCGTGGCGGTGAGCGCGGCTCTCCGCGACCGCTGCGCTCATCTGAAGCTCAGAGGATCGGCAGAGGCCGCCATAGGTCCGCCGGAGGTAGGCGGTGTTCACCTGGACTGGCCGCGGTGAGGCGCCGCTCGCCAAATCACATTCCACCCGTCGGGAGACGACGCGTGCTAGAGCATATTCCACGAAGACGCAGAATACGGATATCCGATTAAATGAGCGTATTCACCTTAGCAATCTTCAGCAGCAGTAAATGTGCGGACAATGTTACAGAGGTCAAAGGAAGGGAGAAGTGAATGACTAATGAAATTCGTATGTATGTTCCGGTATTAGACTTCCTCATAGCAATCTCAAGCAGCGATTATCGTGCTGGCAAGTGTCTTGAGTTTGGACGAAAAAAGCATTGATAACAAATTTAAAGAGCCTGAATAGTAGTTCTGAAAGAAGGGTTTTCCCAAACAATCTCAAGCAGCAGCCAGTGTAACAGCAAGTGTCTTGAAGTAGAGTGGAGCACATTACGGGTCAATTCCATCAACATCCAGAAGGTATTACATCTAAAACGTCCCTTGGAAGCATGTCTTTAAAGGACCAAAATTTCCACGGATGTGCGGTCTTAGGTGCAATGCCTATCCGTTTATCGCAAATATTTCGAGTCAAACAGGACAGCGCACGAAGGATTTGCGCTTTGGCGCGTTTTGGATTACTGAAGCAAAGCGAGTGGTTAGTTTATTCCGAAAATATGCTCAGTCATTTCAGTACACTTGCTTGAAATCAGACAGTCCACTACCGCGGGTGGTTTAGCGCCAAGTTCACCGGCTCCACGCTTGCGGAACCTTTGCCCGTGCCGACAGCAACCGGCAGATGCGATGCAGTTTTAAGTTGACTGCATTGGTGTGCTCCTGGTGCTCTCGCCGCTCGCCAAATACATCTCGCCAGCTGGCAACGGCACCAAGCTGCCACCGTCTTTGTGTGCGACAGGCGAATGTATAGGTGGACGGAATTTGCGAAATTTCCGATATTTTATATGGCTTCTTTCATTTTCCCGACCACGCACGCACTACGCTGCAAGATATCTGAAAGCTTTGCTTTTTACGTGGGTTCGATGCTGTATGCATGGTCGCTACGTTGCGGCAGTACCAGTATGGCAGACGTACTTTAGGCAGGAGGCAACGAAGAAGTAGGAGCGCTGCGACGTACATCCCTTTGATGTTTGAAAAGCAATTGCTTGGGGCGCCACACGCTCCAGTTTGAAAATGGATGGCAAATTGCTCAGGCAAGCCTCATTATTTTAGGGCATGCATAGAATCAAGTGTGTTGCTAGCCTCTTCAGCGATTGGTGGTGCGTTGCTATGTCGTCTTGTATTTCAGAATGTGCAGTCCAAACGACATTGCTGCAATACAGCCCCACGTATTCCTCGGCATTTTAACTCCACAGTGTTCCCGAAATATCATGCATGGCTGCCATATGTTTTCCACTTTTGTCCACGCTGTTTACAACGCAGTTAGTCATGAGGGCTAAGTCATGTCGGGTGTAGCGAGCCTAGGCTTATTAGTTGGCATTTCTTATACTGAGTTACCTACCATCGATTTACCATGAGGCACTGGCTGAACGACGTTAACGAGCAAACATCGGGTTTATCGCCAGTCCTCGCCTTTTGAAGCCGCTCACGGCCCGCTGTGTGCCGCAGGGCGCCGGGCCCGGATGCTGGTGGCCGGGGCGTGGATGGTCAGCGCCATCTTCGCCACCCCCATGCTGGTGCTCTACGACGACGCAGTGTTCGGAGGTAGGACGGCCTGGTTCTTGACATGTGGCGCGTGACAGCTGCTCTCGCCGTTCTCGTACAGGATGAGACAGCAGCGGGGCAGTAATTCAGTCGGTGCGCTGTAAATATCCAACGATTAAGGGCCGACACATTCAGAAATGTTAGCCCGTAAAATCGTAACTAGTTCGTGGCAACGCAAACAATTTTGCCTGGTTTATGGTGTTGACTTTTTACTTAGAAACTGTTCACCCCACCATGCGTTATTCAGAATAACCCTGCTATGATTCCGAATTCCGCCAGTTCCTAAAGGAATATATCATGACAACAGTTTGCCTCGTTCATGCCATCCAGCTTTTGCACAGCGCCGTGCCTGATCAGCTGATCTAATTTTGACAAATTTGCAACATTTTTTGTTAAAAGTATGAAAGTTAAATTGTTAAGGTTTCAGAAGCTAAGACGCAGTAAATAAAAGCACAGTTAACATTTAAAGCCTGAGTAATGTAAATATAAGAAAGTATCGCTTGATGTCAACAATGTCACATAGCATATTAGAAGCATGTCAACAACATCGTTCATCGTTCATCGTTCAACATCAACAATCGTTGAAAATAGGATATTATAGTTGTGAAATGCATATGGCATGTGATTAGTAAAAAATATCGTAAGAACAGCTGTCCCACCTGCCAGAAACACGACTGTGAATCGTTACCTGAGAAGCAACCAAATAAAACGCGTGTTCTCCCCGCCTCGGAAGAACCGCCGTTGCTGCGGCACAACGACGCTGCGGCCGTGGCGCGAATGTGACGTGTAGGATGTTTTACTGAAAATTTGACAGTTTCCAACCTGTAAGTCGGCGGTTAGGACCTCCTGACAACTGCTCTGTGTCAGGCAACAAAATACCCATGTAGACAAGCCGTAGCCGATGCAGGCCCTGCCTGCTGCCTTTCGATGTCAAAGACGAGTGCACACTTCTCCATGATTTGCTTTTGCGCGGTTTAACTGAGCTACCCGTTATCATGCTGTGGATGCGGCCCACACCGCTTTCCCGCCCGACAAGCGTGGTGCCCCTGCTAACGCAGCCTGCGCGCTAGGTATGAACCAGTGCTGGATCAATCTGGGAGAGTCAGACTCCTTCGAGTGGCGGCTGTACCTGACGCTCATCAGCCTGGCGCTCTTCATCATCCCGGCCATCATCATTATGAGTTGCTACTCCATCATCCTGTGCACGCTCTGGAGCAAGGGACGCATGCTGAAGACTCCGTCCGACATTGAAGGTCAGTCTCTATGGAGTCAAATGGGTATTGAGGATGGGCAGGGCTACGCAGGGGCCACTGCGGCTAGGCTGAGACGGGCAGAAGCACACACACCCCTCTAGGCAAGATAGTGTTCAGGTCGCGGCGTGTCAAGGATCCGTTGTGGCCAAGATCCGACGCGTGAGTGGTCAAGGCAACTGATGACGTAGTTGGTTTCCAAGGTCACATCTATGAGCTTGTCTGCAGAGATGTGCTTGATGTGTTTCGTGTTTTTTGATACGTTGAATAGAATTTGGGCTCACGTATGGTGTAGCAGATATTTCAAAGGGTTCCGCGAAATGTCACAGTGCATGCTGCGTTCAAAATGCGTTGGTTATATGCTGATGCTCCCTGACTGAACGATACGCAGGTGATTGTATAGGCGATAGGGCAATGTCAAGCGATGACTGAAGCTGCTTTTGCTTCCAACCTCATGAATCGGTGATATCAAGCTTGTTTAAAGCCGATGTGAAGCTTTTTCAGGCCGAATTTTTGGGCTGAGATGGTGATCATGGCTCTGTTAGATGAATGCGTTACGCCAGATGGAAGCCAATTGACAAGGTCTGCAGATTGTCGCTTTTGCGCGCTCATGCTGATTGATCCGTTAGGAAAAAAACAGTAGGGGCGTACGTCAGGTGAGCAAAACCTCAAGACACGTAGAGCACAACATTTAACATCAATTAGATGTTTGCAATGTCCTCTCACAACATTGTATAGGATTGGGGCTCTCCAAGTTTTAAGTCTCCACTTAATTCTCTCTTTGACCTCTCTCTCAACTCTCTTTTCTTCAGCTCCTCAATTCTCGGTATCAAATCAGTTTTTCAGTTTTTTGTTTGCCCCTTAACCGCAACACCACGCACTAGCATGCTACCGTAACGTAAGTTTCACTAGCTGGTGCTTGCCTCCTATTCGCCCCGCGTTTAGGTCAACACCTTGCATGACTTTCGCCGTGTCAAGCGAAAACTCACTACAAAGATAGATGCATCATAGGAACCAGACGAAAATGCTACAACTTTTCACACACACAATCTAATCCAAGGACGGTACGTGGCGGGCTCATTTGCAGCTCAGGCTTTGACAGCCAACACATACTAAGTTCAAGCTATAACACAAAAAGAAAGCAATAAAATTTGAAGCGATTCGGAGAGGGAAACATGGTAATGAGGCAGACAAAGAACTGGGGCATGGTGGCCGTGCCATTAGCCCTTTTAGAGGGGCGTGGTTGCCGCTTCCGCGGACTGGTGAAAAGAGGCTGGGTCTGTTGTCCATTCGCACTGAATGTGAATCTCTTTACTATCTAAATAGTTTTAGGTCAGTGATTTTTTTCACCTTTAGAAGCCCATGATGGCCAAAATCATACAAGACTGCCTTGCTTTTTGCAGTTGAATGAGCGTCAAGAATTGCGCTAGGCTGAATGTTCCTAAACACAGAGTGTTGACCCGGGTCATTTTAGGTCAGTGGTCTATGCTGACCTTTAAGAAGTCCATGGAATAGTTATGATGAGGTTCTTGTTGTTAATAAATTCAAAATGAGCACCAGAAACTACCCCATATAGCCTGGCCTCAGCTCAGTGCAATTTGTGGATTTAATTGTTGTGTTGCCTAAAAAACTATCTCAGGGATGCATGGCCTCGTCTAACACTCCGTTGTTGCGTCGGATTGAATGGTTCCATCGAAATTGCGTTCGGTGAATCCATGGCCTAATTTTGACCTGCGATAGGTCAGCGACCTTACAATGTACATCTAAATCTGTGATATCAAAAGATCTGCCATTCAATTGTCTACAGCAGTGCAAAATTTGACGCTACGCTGCGCATCGTCGTTCCGGAAAAACCATCGAATTGACCCCACCTTTGCGCGTGTTTAGAAAAGTGGCAGTGGAACACCCACGTTGATACGTGATAACAACTTCCATTTTATGTAAGGTATTTTAAAGGTTGCATCCCATCTTTGGGGAATATTTCCAAAACGTACCCTGGTGAAACCTTAGATTCAGCTTCGGATAGTAATAACACTGCAGAAAGTGTCACTGCGGCACTACCAACACATGATCAGGAGGAGAATTTTAATTATATTCGAGTGAAAATTACGCCGTCAACGTGTCGGCACCGCACTACCCTTCCTTGCTTCTTTGTTGTACAGTATTTAGGCCTAGCTCGCGACAACTGTGGTTGTCGCAACTGCCGTCGGCATGACAACTGCTGTTGTCATGCCGACGGCAGAATCCGCTAAGTGCCGTGGTCGGCTGCGACGGACCAGACGCGTCACTTTTGAGCTGTTTGAACCCGCACGCTGCGGGCCTGCGGGTTTGAAAGTGACATCCAACCGGTCTGAATGACGTCAGTACAAGTGAACGTTTGGGACGGGCGATGAACAATAAAGAACAAAAGATTAATAATGTGATGGACGGAAGTAGCACAGCCGGCGGCGAAGGCGCATACCGAGAAGCGCATTGGTTGACGTTTGAACGCGTCGCACGTCATTCCGGACCATGTGATACTCTGCTTTAAAGAGACAAACTGGGTTTCTGAAAGAGCCACTGCGTTTACGTTAAGGAGAAAAACTTCAGTCATAGTGTAACGTTTCGTTAAATTCGCGTGATAATCATGCATATGTTTAGATAAGTTTTATCATGTGCTCATTTGCTTATATTTTCCCTAAGTAGTCTCAACGGCGTCATTAAATTACAGTAACGTGCCGTCAACGCTGGCTGCCCAAGGCACAGTCGCCGCTCGCTCCGCGGCCTGTTCTCTCGGTGCCTCGACCCAGCGGTGCCTGCGGGCACGAGCCGGCCAGCCGCCCCTGACACGTAGGCAGCCCGCAACGCACCAGGTTGCGGCCTCCCGCCCGCGCTACATTTGTGCAAATATTTTGACAAATTGGTGTATTGTAAACATCACAGAACGTAAATTTTAGGAAGGGAACACACGCGAAAATATTACTTTCGTACAGGTGAACGGGAAGATGAGATTTCTCCCACCGGAGCGGTTTCTTGAAATTTTGAACTGTTCGGAAGGATTTCGAGAAAGCGGGTCGAATCAAATCGGACGCGTGGGATCCAACAATAAGTGACAAATAGAAAAGGTGACATTCTCCCATTAATCCGGTGAGATCGAGAAAGGTTTAGTGTAAAACATAGCGATTTTGTGCCACAATTTAATGACGCATTAGGCCCGTTAGAAGGTAAAATTCAGATGTCTTAAAACTCAGCATTTACAATAACTTCCGTTTTTGCACTAAAAGCAGAATTTCACATTTGGTCCCACTTTTGAACTGTTGGAATATGGTATAAGTAACACAACGCTTAAATGTATTACATTTTCTGCCAATTGTTTTAAGAAAAAATCATACTGTACATATATATATATATATATATATATATATATATATATAACCAGAAGTACTATTTTCACATGTGAACATATTCCGCTGTACAATTTAAGAACGTCGAAGGCATGGCTGTCACGGATGCTTTGAAACTGATGGGCCCTCATAAGACTTTGGTCACATCTCCACAAGCTAGGTCATGCTGTCACATTTCCCATACGTGGATCACGTCTGTGCCAAAGCTTTAACAAAGAGGATGCTTGAAACACGTTCGCAGCTCCATGGTCTCTCACAGCTTACGGCAGTTGCAATCAGGTAAGGACGCCAGCGCCGGACTAACGTGCTGTCTGTCAGTCTGCCCGCTCACTATCCCACACCACCGTCAGTCGCCGAAGTGAAGTAATATCTTCGTGAAAAAGAGACATGTGCTACAGTGGGGCAGCTAGTTGCCCCGGTAGTTCCTCCTGTCACACAACCCCAGTGAATCTGGACTAGATTGCACCACAGGGATCCGCACCTGCGTCTGGTTAGTTGACAAGAGAATGTCCCGTGCGTCACGTCGCTGACATTTCAATCCGCCATGGCAACAACCCACCGGCGAGGCAACGTGAGGACGGTCTGTTGGACCCAGATTGCCTGCGACGAACGAGAGAGCTCTGGGATGCTCAGTCGCGTTAGGCGACATCACGCCGCATTAGGACGTCCTCATGATTGGAACGGTCTGTTGGGCCCAGACGGCTTGCGCTGAGGCGGGAGCACCGCTCCCAGCGATTCCGTCGCATTACGCGACATCATGCACTGTGCCTGCTTCTCGACACCAGCGGCTGTTCGATGTCGCGGAGACAATCTCGCCGCAGGGAGTTCCCGGCGTTGCCGAGCGCGGCGCGCCCGGCCAGCTCGACCCACCGCGCCAGACGCACGTCAGCGGGTCATCGCCCGGCTCGGAGGCGCCACCGCGATGCGTCGTGTAGCCGCCGACCCTCTCCGCAGTCAGGCTTCACAAACAGCCGTTCGCAAAACAACGAGGGGATAATTCTCAAAGGCATCCGTGCGTAATCACAAGCGTCGACCCGTCTCCGCAGCAGGAGAATGCTGACGACTGCGGGATTACAACACCTGCCGCCGTTGTAAACACCCTGCTTGGCGCGCTGGTGGGGAAATGAAACGTTCCTGGAGCTGCGGCAGAGTAATGCGATCCAGCGGCCCCGTCTGGGAATGAAACACGAACCATATTTCAATAGACCAGAACACTCGTGTGCTCTGATCTATTGAAACGAAATCATTGGTCTGGAAAGCGGTGCCTGCGACACACAGCAATGTTTCTGAGTGACGTCCGCTTGTCTTGAATTTAATTTGTCCCATTCATCCTTTAATGTCAGCGCAAACTTCTGAGGGCTGCACGTGACGGCTGCAAGCGCAGCTGTATGCCGAGTGAGTCATGCTGGACAACTTCGAGTAGTCCTGCCTGGCCCCGTCTGGGGCGTCACGGTTTACAAAATTTAACTTGTCTGCAATCCCTGATCGCACCTCCATGCAGCTGTCGGCAGCAAGAAGTGAAGTTTCGTAGAAATTGGGGTGTATAACGTCTTAGGCATGCGCTCAAAATTCTTCAACCAGACCCAGCTTGTCTGCAACACTGCAAGTTGAACGGAAATGTTTTTTCCCATTTGCTTAGAATGCAAGGGATAAAGCTGCAGATATTTTTACAAATGCGAATCGAAACAAGGCACAAATCTCGCCGACCAGACGCGACAGCGGCAAGTGGTCAAAAGTGCGGGTCTCTAATGTCGTTGTATCGTCTGCCGTACGCTCCCGTGCGCTAATCGTGAAAGTCCGATTAGCAGCGCTTTGAAGGACTGACACCAGATCTCAACAGCCCTTACAGATAAAGGTGTGCAACCAACTGCTTGGAATGTTTGCGCGCACCGCCTGCAGTAAGAAAGCGGTGTCAATACAGGCCGAGAGGTTCTCTGGTAATCGAGCGGCAAGCGACTAAAGTCATCTCAATGATAGTTTTTAGCTAGCCAGCAAGTCACTGGTCCATCAGCTGGCCGCAAGGAGCGACTAGCTGACTCGATTATTGGCTGTTGGAAGTGGAGAGGTAATATCTCATGTGCGCTGGTTTTGACCGGGAATTTTGGGAAATCGGGAACGGCTGAATTTGGTCTAATCCAACCCGTCAACTCTTCGTCCACCGATAACCGATGTCTTGGGCGCTACGTTTGTGATATACAACGAAATATCGCAACAGCGAGACACAGTTCAAGCAGGTCACCAACATTATGTGGAGCACATAGAAAGAACATGCTAGAAGTTAATGCGATTCATTGTAGGTCTAACTAAGGATGAAAATCCTACAAAATACGCGCGCATACAAAACGATGTTATGTAAACACGCACCATGCAGCAACGCACCAATCACATTCGCAGAATCAGCCATGTTGAGCTGTGCAGGTCGGGGTCTGGTCGCCGACTTGTTACACGAATGTATTGGGTGGTTTTTCTGTCTGAATGTCCAGTGCTCTGTATTTGACTATGAGTCCTAAAAAGAAACGTATAGGGTCCGTACCTGTTCATGGGTTTTGGCCTGGACACATGGGGTGCGAATCGCTATGCATTCTGAGATGCCGTGCTGGTTTGCTTACGTGTTCGTTTCATCTACATTACATCTCGTTTCATCACAGTCACCGTCTGCCATCACTTCGCTCGTTTCGCACATCAAAAGAAGACACGTTACAGGTAAATTACCTCGCGATTTACAGCTCAGGCTCATTATGGCCTTAATTAGCGGCTCTTGATACACCATCTGGACGGTGGCGGGTCTTTGTGTTCCTCAGTGGGTGGTGCAAATGGATACAAACTGACGACCGCATCCATCATACCGTGCAGGGTGTAGCCACCGTCCGGGCCCAAACGCCCGAGCCCCGCCCACGAGCGTCCCTGGATCACCCGCGATAATCCTCGTGATGGCGGGAGGGGGAGGGCAGCGTGGACATCGACCAGACCACATAAGCCGCTGGCACGCAAAGAACCAGCTCCCTCCCACGCCGATGTCATTCTTAATGTGTCAACACGCTCCAGCTCCACACCCCCTCCCCTCCAGGTGCGGCACGCCTACGCCACCCAGCCCCAGCGCAGCCCCAGCGCAGCCCCGTCGACAGTGCCAACAGCTGGGCTCTCGGTCATCAGCACTGTCCCGGCTGAATGGCTGCTGATTGCGGTGGGCGGGATGGCTCCTCAAGCCTGGGCGGGACAGCCGCGTCAAAGACGGCCGGCGGGCTGCCCGCACCGTCCCTGTATCGGGGACGACCCGCTGGTTTGGGAACCTCTTCTGAGTGGCGTGGTGACACTGACAGCCGCGTGCCTCAGCGGGCCGCGCGCACCTTCCTGAAAAGGGTAACTGGCCGAGATTGATGTCAACGTAGGGGGCCCGAAAAAGCCCGGCACAATGAAAAGTGTTTTTGAGAACTGTCGTCCACTCAGGTTCGCTGGACGACAGATCTATCAATACGTGTAACATGCTGAAGACATTGCTAGTGGACGCGCATTTACTAGACCGTGTGTGATAAAGTTCCCGCCCAGCTATTCGTGTATCCACAAATGGCCTGAAATATTGATCGCAAAAGGTATGCCGGTATTCAGTTTTCAGCGTGTTGTCATTGGTGCCGTCTGGCCTGAGAGTCGCTCTGGCACTCCGTCCGGGAGTTCCAGAGGTCGGCCGCCGGTTCTTCAGCCCCAGCTCCGGCCACCCTCACCTCCCCGCGAGTCTTGACCTGTTCGCCGTGTGCGCCGCAGACCGCCGACTGGCGCGCGCCGGCAGCAAGGTCGCCAGAGGTCGCCGCGAGGAGACGGACCTGCGCCGCGCCAGCTCCCGCGGACTCATACCCAAGGCCAAAATAAAGACCATTAAAATGACGTTCGTCATTGTGTTCGGTAAGCAGGGATCGAAGCGTTTGTCGGCTCCGGGGTAAGAGACGGTAAGAATGTAAGAATCTGAGTGCGGATGCGTGCAGATGAGAATTGGAGTGTTCATGAACTGTTATCCTGGCTCCTCCTGGGTGCGAGGGGGAGTTATGTGCATGCTTGTCAACATTGTTGAGGCAGGGCCTGATCAACTTTGGGCAAGTTGGTTCTAGTTAGGATGTTACCATCTGGACTTTGTTCTGCCGTTCAGAGAAATCTAACTTTCGGACACGGCTAGCTGAAGGTCAAGAGTGGGACCATAGTGTGTCCGTCCTTAACGAAGCCTTCCGGAGCCTCTGAACAAATAATAACAGCGAAGTAGTGACCAAAAATATCGACAGATGTTATGGGTCAGGCGGTCAGCGATCTTCAAAACAGTCTAAATTGTCAGAAACCGGTCAGGAGACGGATGACTCGTAAGCTCATGACAGAAGTCACCAGAGAGTTTGGAGAGCGCTGGGGTTTCATTGCGGTCAACCCCGCCACTGAACCATAAACGTTAGCGTCTACTGTCCTGAGATGGTGGTCATAAAGTTCTACGCTACTTAAGTCGTCAGATACCCATGAAACAGCAAAGAGACGCACCGAAAGCCAAAGGCCGCCAGGTGGTTCTGAAGGGAACGTACCCAGGATAACCACGTCACCAACGGTTGGTCACCATCCGTTGGTGACGTCACCAACAAATGCCATGAGCCCAGGGAGTATTTGAAGCCCCCGAACCTTCCAGCACGTCGAAAAGAGGAAGTGCTCTTATTTTGTTACAAATACATTGTCAAGGGTCGAAGGGACTGTTTATAACGTATGCAAGAACTGTGCCATCTTGAGTACCTGCATATGTACAACATACTGTGCTGACCACAGAAATTTATGTACTGGTCCCATAGATCTGATCAGCACTTCAATTTTTTATTCGGATGGCCTATGAACTTGGCCAAAATTGATATCGGCTGACCTTCAAAGCAACCTTAATTTATATCTTCGTGTCTGGGATACTTTTGTCCCACAGTTGCACCTAATACAATCAACTTAGAAGCACATTGTGAAAGAAAAAATATCGTTCTTGTCGGCTACTGACAGACCAATTTTGGACGATGAGTTGACCTGACCTGGCCCATGTGCCAAGCAAAAATGTTCGGAAAATGTTAAACTACCCACGGTCTTGATTCTTACTTCTGTGCCCTCAGTAGCACTGTTGGCGTGTTAACAAAACTTTTAACTGCATTTATCGGAACGACCGCTTTCTCCTTTCATGACCTCTGGTGGGTTCACATTCAGCTTAGGTAAAAATTTTGGTGTGCTTCCTTCATTATTTGACGGGAGTTCACAACAGTATCTTTGTGGTTCTCATACGGCGTCTGGACGCTGAAGATCCCAGGGGGAAGTCAACTCCCCCAGCCGGGCCGGGCGCGGTTGTCTCAGAACCCCGGCCGGGCCCAGGTTGACGAAGCGTAGAGTGTCCTGGGAATATGCTAACGCTTTTGCATTAGGTCACGCACTGCCTTTAAAGAAAATGTGCAAGGTGGGTTCAAACAGCAGGAAGCATTATGTTGCTATCACTTTGACAGTAGCGAGTGGTGAACGCGTCCGATTCTTTCACATGATAGCAATGATATGCGATCCTCTCCTCGTAATGGGAAGGAGTTTGGCTCACACTATTTCCAAACGTTTTTTGCCACTACCCTGCACTGGGGTGTTGGGGAGTGAGGCGTGGATGCCAGTGGTATTAGCACGCAACTGCGCTAATGAATTATTGTACGGCACTATTGTTGGTATGGCAGCTGGGTGCAAGGACACATTAAACGGGGGAGGGGGGGGGGGGACATCGGAGAAACGCACCCTTTTTTAGCTGTTGTATATTTATCAATATACATATGAAAAAATGTTAACAGTAAAGAAGTCGAGGAAAACACGCTAAAATCGTGGCATTAAGTTATAAACTATTCAAGAAATTGTGCGCGCCTGCACCGCGCTAGGAGTTTTGCGGTCAGCAAGCTGTTTCGCTCGTGCCTCCGCTCCATTGCGCACTCCTGAGCACGCCGCTGGATGGGCAAGATGGAGCAGCCCGCCGGCACCGGCGCTGTGAACTGTGACGGTGGCGTCGGAGCCGGACGCCGAGAGCTGGGGGTTGGTGGCCAATGGCTCAATAGTGGCCGGCCGAGGCGGAGGAACGGCAGCGGTGCCCGAGAGCGACCATCGGCGTCCGCGGGTAACTGGGGCTGACAGTGATCGGTGGCTGTCGGACGAACACGGCCGCTGCGCCCTCTGTGTGAGATACGGACGTGCAGTGATGTGGATCTTTTGGGCGCTGCCAAGATAAATGGTCTGAAACACTGAATGAAATATTGAGTGGATTTCCCGTTGGCGCGATGTCTGTGGTTGATGAGGCTTATTGTCTGTCATGTTAAGAGGGCTGAATTACAAGTTTGCGTGAAGGTCTTTGAGCGGCTTAAAATAAAAAATATGACTAATGTCCCAAATAATGTTGTTATTTATCACACAACGTTCCTGCCGGCTTTTTCTCCTGGCGCCCGTCAGGTGCTACTTGGCCCTGATAAAGGTGTGGAAATGACGCTGATCGCCGTCGCCTTTGAGCGTGTAGTGGCTAGGGTGTCTCAGCCTACCAATTCCAATATCGACGATTGAAAAGTCGTAGCTGTCAAATGCTTTAAAGGCTGTGATGCACACATGGCCGTGCGCCAAGCATCCTCATATTGTTACCAGGAGCAGTTCACACCTGGCAACAACCGGAATAAGCAGCCGGCTGAGACGCTGTGTGAACAATAGCGTGATCGCCGAGTGAGTAATGATAATTCCGTCTGCACTAATTATCATTCCATCTGTATAAACACACCTTACACAACTCGCGGACGCGTCTTTGAGCAGAAAAGGGTCCTACGTCTCCGTTTAACTCGTCCCGCCGTGTTAAACCAGCGAGGGACGGTGAATGGGCGACAGTTGTCCTATACGTCGACTTTTGAGGCCGTGGGGTGGTGCAGGGCGCGGGAGCGGGGTGCAGCTCCAAAATGCAGACGACCCACCAGCAGCGGGCCTGTGATGAGACGGCTGGCAGTGACAGCCGTCATTCGGTTCTGGTTCGCCGGCCGCTGTCGCTCCGGAAGGTGTCAGCCGCGAGCCTCGAAGAACGTTTAACACGAAGCACGCGGCAAGTGGTCCTCCGGCTCCACTCGGGCGGATCGCGTGCGTCAGAGAGGAACGCAATCAGGCTGGTCGAGCCGGGCGGGCCGGCCGGGCCGCTGGGACCAGACGCGATCCGAGTCGGCCGCGTCGGTCCCCGGCGACTTCTCGCGGTCGTTCGCTCGTGATGGGACGCCAGGTCACGTGCGCCGAGCAGGCGTCCACCCGCTCCCCGTGTCGACTCTGTGCTGGCGCCGGAGCGATATGCCCTGACCGTCGGCCCGGGAGGAATACCGTGCTGGCTTCAATCCGCTGTGTTCTGCTCGTGCCCCCAGCCCTGCTCCTCTGTCGCAGTCGTGTAATTGTGTCCTGTCCATGGCGCGCCGTTTTAATGTTTGTTTGGGTCCGCGCATTGCGCTCTACCGAGTGCTGATCCAGTGCCGGTGCCGGAACGCTATTCTGCCCGTGGTCCCCAGTTTTCATCCTATGCTGGAGCCCCTACATCGTGTTCGACCTGCTACAAGTGTTCGGACATCTGCCGCGCACGCAGACCATGCTCGCTGTGGCCACTTTCATCCAGAGCTTGGCACCACTCAATTCAGCCGCAAACCCCATCATCTACATCATCTTCTCCAACAACGTCTTCAGGAATCTCAGGTGAGTCATCGCGCGTGACAAGCGTTACGGTCAGCTCAGTAGGCCTCGGCCCTCAAGACGGAGGCAGTGACGTGACGCTGTGAGCGGGTCTAAAGTCGGCTGGCTTCTGTGCATCTGTTTGAATGTTGCCTGCAAGCGCGATGAGCTTAGCTCACAACCCTGAAGTGTTCCTGTGATCGGCTGCGTCAGTGTTGTGTAAGGACGACTGCGCAGCCGCTACCGCACAGAGCAAACCTACCGCTCGTGGAGTGCGCCTTCCCCACTTGCCGGCGGAGGAGGCGCACTACAGGGAGCACGTGGCCACCCGGGAAAGCGCGGCGGCGTGGTGGAGGACGATCTTTTCGGGAAGCATCAGTTATATCTGCATCACAGCACTGCCTCTTCTGTGACATGAGCATAGGACGTCCACACTGGGGGAGAGTTGATCGGAGAGGAGGGAGGGGGAGGGGCAGCCCCGTGGGGCCGGTGGTCTGAGTGACGAGCTGGCAAGCATACTAATGCTCGAACTTGCAGGCACCGCACGTCTCCGCACTCAGCCGTTTGTTTCAATCTCACTCCGTGTCCGGCAGGCCATCCGCCACATTCATAAAGTTTTACGGGACGTCACGCGCCCGGAAACCTTCATTTAGTGCAAACTTGGCAGGCGGGACAAAGTCAGGACTACCAAAGGCATGCTCTCTCAGCACGCGCTGGGAGGTGCCGTACTGCGAGGTTTCATGAGGCCCGAGCAGCCAGCAGACGTTTAGTCCATGAGCGAGCAAGATGATTGCTTCCTTTTTGGGGCAAAGCTGATGTTGATTGATTGACATTTTACTGGCTATAAAGCTGAACAGCTCCACCCATTACAGGCCTGGCAACGATTAGAATGCTCAATTCAATAGCATAACGGCTGGCATGGCGCGGCTCGGTATCGGCCTGGTTTCGAAACTGAATGCTCATAAATGACCCAAACAAGCTACCGCAGGGCATACGCTAAGCTGCGTAAATAAGGCGGAAAGCTGTGCTGTCATCGTTCGAAGCAACCAGGCATGTCGACAACAGATGACATAAAAATACCGAGGTAGAAGCTCTGTCACGCAAGGACCGTCCCGTTATCTTATTTTGCTCTAGCGCATCAGACGTGGAATCAGCAATTGAACTAACCACATACCTGCGCTCAAAATAATCCGAAAATAGTGTCATATATATATGTATATATATATATATACATATATATATATATATATATATATATATATATATATATATATACTGTATGAATATTGCCGACACCCACTGTGAGGAGCTGGACCACGGAAGAACTCCATATCAGAGGCATCCACTGCGGGCAGCGAGGGGAGGCGAGGCTGACCACGCTGGAGGGGATTAAAAGAAAGAAAACATCACGGATTCGCTCAGAATGGCCTCCAAACGACCGATACTTGTTCCAATACGGACGCAACGCGTGTTTTGTCGACACATGTTAGATGCTATTACGGCCACGATCTGGAGGCAGGCGCATGAGCGTGTTTAGTTAGATCTCAGCTCTCCGATTCGCTTATGCGTATGAAGGGCATTTGAGACAGTGTAAAACGTCGCAGACATCCAGAAATGACTCCAGAGCGTATGGGCGTTCCAAAAGCGAGTAAAGGGTTGGACGAAAATTGTTTAAAGACCATTCCTTTCCATATGAGAAGTTCAGCGAAAAGTGGGTAGGCCAACCTGGCGCCCACGTTTACACGTCCATTCGCACAGCGCCCAGCTGAACAATGGTTTTGCTTTTGTCGGCTTGGGGCCGCGCGTGACCCGTGAGGAGAGCCTGGAGCCCGTGCCGTCAAGCTTTTACCATTGACAACGTAATTACGCATTACCATTTTTGGTATAACCGTCTCGTCGGCGTGCGTGGACGATAGTGTTTGCGTGCGTGTTAACCGCCTTTATTTTGAGGCCGTCAATAACATGTTGCTCCACCTGGTCAATTCCTGCCTATCCTTCTCCGAAGTGCCTGAGTGCTGAAAGCATTCCATCGTCTTCCCCATCTTCAAATCCGGAGATCCTACAAACCCTCCTAGCTTCCGCTCCACCTCCATTGTCCCTGTCATGGCAAGGGATGGTTTCCGAGAAGCTAACTGGTTGAAGTTTGAAGCAGCGTGTCACTATGGGCCGTGTGACGCCTCTATTCTCAGAGCAAAAGTGCGGCTCGGAAGGGGTACTGTGATCAACTCCGAAGGGGAGAAACAGAACACCTAGTATGACGTTTCGTTGAATGTAGGTAGTGATAGGTTCATGTTCGCGTATCCGTTTGTTTAGACAGAGTGTTTCAAGCTCTCGTGGTATTATTACAAAAGTATTTTCACAAATTAGTATGTTCCAAACATTCCAGAACACACACGTTGGAAAAAAGCAAGGCAAATAAAGCGTATTGCTTCAATAACGGCGCGCAGAGAGTCAAATGAGACTTCCCGCAAGAGCAGCTTCTTCAAATGGAAATTATAAGCTATTCAGAAGGAGCTCGAGAAAACTGTTATTACGGAGTCAATCATACTCTTCTGCTCTAACGATAAATGAAAAGTACAAAAAGGTGGGATACTCCCTTTTAAGCAAATGCTTCGATGGGAACGAAAACTCAAAATAGCTGACAAAAATACACCCGCACGTTAATATCCGCTGGCTTTCAGCATGCCTCAAAAGCCACTCGCGTAGTGTGAGAATGTCTGACGCCTTTGGGAACTAGAAACACTAGAATGTCTGATATTTTTCGGGACTGGAAACGCTCTCCTAAGCTGCCTAACAGCATGACAGCTTTTGAGGGATCCTCAGCAGGCCAAATACTAAACTGCATCTTTGTGAATGACGTAAGCCTCTTCGCAGAGGGTGCAGTCATTGCACATATCCAGCCAAAACCCATCATCTGGTGAGCGGCAAGCAAGGTCATTTCCAAAGTGTCGTCACGCAGGTGGAACCCATTCCGGCCTCTCTCGACGTTTTGTTTCGCGCAAAGGGTCTTTAAATAACTGCTGAGAAGATCCAGTTACAGTTGTTCGCAAGTCCGCAAAATCTGCGCAGCCCGCCGAACTTCACTGTAAACTTTCGTGAGCACGAGTTATTCCCCTTTTCGGAGGTGAAAAATCCAGGCTTAGTATATGATCCGTCTCTCAGCTAGAACTCCACGTTTCTTTCGTCACTGGCCGCCGTCTCTCTCTCTCTCTCTCTCTCTCTCTCTCTCTCTCTCTCTCTCTCTCTCTCTCTCTCTCTCTCTCTCTCTCTCTCTCTCTCTCTCTCTCTCTCTCTCTCTCTCTCTCTCCTCTCTCTCTCTCTCTCTCTCTCTCTCTCTCTCTCTCTCTGCTCCTCTGCTCTCTCTCTCTCTGCTCTCTGCTCTCTGTCTCCTCTGCTCTCTAGTCTCGTCTCTGCTCTCTGTCCTCTGTCTCTGTCTCTGTCTCTGTCTCTCTGTCTCTGTCTCTGTCTCTGTCTCTGTCTCTGTCTCTGTCTCTGTCTCTGTCTCTGTCTCTGTCTCTGTCCTCTGTCTCTGTCTCTCTGTCTCTGTCTCTGTCTCTGTCTCTGTCTCTGTCTCTGTCTCTGTCTCGTCTCTGTCTCTGTCTCTGTCTCTGTCTCTGTCTCTGTCTCTGTCTCTGTCTCTGTCTCTGTCTCTGTCTCTGTCTTCTCTCTGTCTCTGTCTCTGTCTCTGTCTCTGTCTCTGTCTATGTCTCTGTCTCTGTCTCTGTCTCTGTCTCTGTCTCTGTCTCTGTCTCTGTCTCTGTCTCTGTCTCTGTCTCTGTCTCTGTCTCTGTCTCTGTCTCTGTCTCTGTCTCTGTCTCTGTCTCTGTCTCTGTCTCTCTCTCTCTCTCTCTCTGAATGTACTTGTCACCTTAAGTCGTTTTTACGCTGGTGAGGCCCCTGGTCCTTTCGCAGATCCCATACTGCCTTTCGGTTATAGGAATGGCACTAAAAAATATCTGTAGGATCCAAACCGTCATCAACGCTGCAGCCAAAGTAATTGTTGGGCTTAGACACTTTGATCACATTTCGGATATCCTGGAGAAACTCGACTGGCGCTCTGCAGACGGCCTCGTCAATTGCCGCACGTTACTGCTTCTTAACAAGGTGCTACGTTCTGGTGAGCCAGAAGGGCTGGCTCTTGAGTTCTGGGAGGTACCTCAAACCCGAGATCGTCACAGGCGGGCAGGATGAAGATTTGTGTCCCCCCTAAGTCATGCACTGAGATAGGGAGGAGGTACTTTAACCGGGCTGCTACCCTGTATAAAACCCTTCCCTGTGACCTAATACGGCTCCGAAGTGCGAGGTTTGGCCGTGCACTGAAGCGCCACCTACCACTTCGACGTCCATCATGTCCATGGAATCGTTCGAGCGGTGGTTGCGTGCGCAAACGTGCACATTTGTTTTTCGTGAGCTGTGTGTGTGTCTGTGTGTTTCCAGTCGTAGCCGGTGACAGGGGTGAAAAGGTCACCGGTCAAAGGTCAAAAGGTCAAAAGGTTCCGTCGCCGGCGAAATTTGGAACCGTGCGGATTGTCACCTAAAGTCAAATCTTTCGGAAATCGTGCCTATATAGCTTTAAAAGGGATGTACCAAAGTAAACAAAAAACAACTGAAATGCAATGCGGCATAGCCATCAAGCATTTTTGTTTCTCGAGTTCATTTGAGCTAATGTAACTTTGCTGGCCACCAAACACTGAATTCTGGTTGAAACTAGACTAATAAAATTGTCAGATAAAGGCATACTTACCATAACCAATCTAGAGGTGTGCAGTTCGTTATTCAGTTGGAGAGAGGAATTGCGCCTCCTAACGAGGGATATAGTTTCCTGGCTTTAGTTACCAATTTCTGTCCGTTATTTTTTCATTAACCGCAAATTTTTGAGGTTTCAGTCCTCAAACCAACTTTGAGAAACTACACCCGTGCTCCCAACTCTGAAAAAAAATGTGCGTCAAGGCTGGTGAAGACTGTTTTAAGTGCATTACGGAGACAGGCTCTGTCATTTTTTTTTTCACTGCATCCTTGTTCCCTCCCCACCCTTCCGCATCTCGCAAAACTGTATCCGTTTGGCCCCACATTTACTGATAACATGGCTCTGCGGGCAGCTGAAAACAATCACTTTTGGTTTTGTGACATCATCGTTCAATCAACTCGAAGCGTTGGCGACTTTAGTAGCTTCACGCAATCATTACCCGCGCTGAACTTGCACTTCCTAACAAGATTCCATTCAATTAGTGCGAAGCCCATTCGATATCGGAATCCATAGATTCAAACAACGTTTTTTAGCATCTCTGGCACCTTTATTTAGCTCTATATATAATATGATGATAGTTAACAGCGTTTTATCCCACGTCTGTCCACTGGTCAGAACGCTAAATCTGAGCTGCGACGGACAACGTGAGAGGCCTACGCCAGCGATGCTTGGCATCTTGCCTCAAAGCTGCTGTTCTTTCCACAAGTAGAAAATCCCGGATGAATCCATGACATGTGTCAATCCAACGTCCTCCGTCAGCCTCTGAAGCTAAAGTTCGAGCATCCTCAACAACAAGCCTCCTAGATTGGCAAGGCTTTTTACGCTAGTACCAGGGACGTCCTCAGTGGCAGATCCTTAGAGAAGCTGCGCAGCGCCTTAAAAAACTGACCGTTAGCTATGTTCTTCAAGCCAGTTATCTGCCCGCGAAGCGAACGCAATCAACGGCAGCCACAGCCTTGCACTGAACCCAATTCATTACCGCGTGGCGAGTATTCGAGCCTATTTGTCTCAAATGGCACAACGCTTTAAACGCCGCGTGGCAAGCTGATCGCGTTCGTTGCGAGACGCTCTGGCCAGCCACGATTCTTACGGCTAGTTTTAAGCCTAGTTATTTGGTATATTATACTGTTAAGTATGTGAAGTGAATCTGGGCTTAGGAAGTCTGTGGAAAGCACTGATCTCTGGCCTCTGGAAAAGCCCTGTGTCACCACTGATTCGTGACGGCAGCACTGATATAGTGTAGTTTGCAATAGCTTTGTCACGTGCTAAATCTTTACTGATAAAAGCTGCTATGTTTAGCAATATCTTGCAGCTCAACTTGCTCATACAGCGAAACATCAACGTTTTTACATGTGCTCTACACATGCTCACACCGCAAGTGTTAGCGAGTACAGGCCAATATTAAGCTTTGAGCTTTGTCCCGCTGGGATATTCTGTTGTAACACGGTCTGGTCTCTTGTAACTTGGTTCTTTTCTCGCAGTTTTGTCATCAATTGGCTCGCAGACGTGTGTGTTTTTGTTGCCGATCACATCCAGTAAATCAGAAGCTTTTTCACCCCTGGCCAGAAATACTTTGTTTTAATGCTTTGACGATGGACTTGGATGGCCTCGGGTCTACCGTGGATAGCCCTAATGCACGCATATGTCTATGACGGACACTGACTGCAAAACGACTGATGCGGTGCGGTGTTCACTCCGGTCTCGCCGTCGGATCGAAACTAGTCAAACTTACGGGGATCGAGAAAAGACCGTTATAAGGGTGTTCCAAACACACCCTGTGGCTGCGCACACTCTTGGTTGGGCCAAAGCGCGCGGAGATGCTTTCGTGGTGTCAGCATGCCCTACCAGACCTGCCACATGCTGACCCGAGGGACCTGTCGTTTCAAGTCATGGCTCGATTTCATCCTCTGTTGGTAATCACCCTCGTTGATACCGCCCCCCCCCCCCCCTCTCCACCTCGAAGTCAGTCGCGCGACTCCCTCATGGGTAGCTCCGTAAGGGACTTCTACCGCAGTCGTTACCGGAGAAAATTCGCAAGATATCTCAAGACCATGTCGTTAATTGTGCGCACCATTGTCGTGCACAGATATTGGACAGCAGCACGGTCCCATGGTTTCGGACATATCCCCTGAATTTGGAGGCACCCGGCCATCGGCGTAGAACCTCCCGTCCGTAATGCTGATTAAGCGGAGGATAACATCCCGACGTTTCTGCGCAGCAAATGAGACGCAGCTTTACGTAAACGAAACGTATCGCATGCAATTTAAGCTCAAATCCCCAATTCCGTTCTTCCAAGACCGCGGCACGCCGCGACGTCAGCAGGTCAGAGGTCACGCCGGGCTTGGTATCGGAACAGTATCGACCGCTACAGGCGGCGGACGGGCGCGTCCGGGCCCCAGCCGGTCACGCTCGAACTCCGCACGGGGGCGTTCAACTTTATCAAGAGCCGACCACATCCCAAAGGCGACTGGCGAGATGTAAGCCGTGCCCGAGGTCACAATGGGCTTGTGTCGGCGGCTGCCGCTCGTGTCGGCGGCTGCCGCTACGGCGTGTGTCGGCGGCTGCCGCTACGGTGTGTCGGCGGCTGCCGCTACGGCGTGTGTCGGTGGCTGCGGCCTGTGTCGGGCGGCTGCCGCTACGGCGTGTGCCGGCGGCTGCCGCTACGGCGTGTGTCGGCGGCTGCCGCTACGGCGTGTGTCGGCGGCTGCTGCTTGTGTCGGCGGCTGCCGCTACGGCGTGTGTCGGCGGCTGCCGCTGCGGCGTATGTCGGCGGCTGCCGCTACGGCGTGTGTCGGCGGCTGCCGCTACGGCGTCGGCGGCTGCCGCTACGGCGTGTGTCGGCGGCTGCCGCGCCGGCCGCTGACCGGAAGGCTGTCCTTGCAGGCGGCTGGCGGCGGTGGACTGGCTGGCGCGGCGGATGCCCTGGTGTCCGTGTGGTGACGCCGACCGGCCGCTGACCACCTCCGGCTACCGCTGCGGCACCGACTTCACCACCATGTCCGAGTCGCGCTCGCGCAGCGCGCACATCAGGTGAGGCGGGACGGGGCCCCGGACCGCCAGCGGCGCGTGCGGCACAGCAGGGATCGTGGAGAGTGAGGTGCGACAGTGGGGTGGCTGGGGAACTGTAGAGCAGCTCCTGGCATATTAAGATGCGGTGGTTAGGGGTTGTCCATAATTTACATCGCAATTGTTTGCTAACAAATATACCTCTTTGGTTGGGCACTGGTTACACTGGACGATAGCTCTCACCTCCTCTTGCTCACACTGTTAGAACATTTTTTTACCAGATATCCTGATTTTTAACCCCATCTAGGCGTAACGTCACGCAGTCCGTGCCGCCCCCTCTCCCTCACCCTTGTGTTGTTGTTTGTCATTTGCAGCGGTGGCATGTTTAAAATTCACGGGCGTTACTATCAAACTTGTGCTCATCGATGCAATGGCTCTGTCTTCTCTGTGTCGCGTATTTAAAGGGAGTGGTCTACATTCCTATGGGGTTTTGAACTGAAATAGCCATTTTGAAGACCATTCTTTTCAGATCAAAGCCTGAACTTTTAAAGACCCAAACCCCTTTAGGTTTTTAGCCTTCGCCCGGGTAGGTGGGTAGATTATTTCGCGGATAATATTTTAGGGTCACATTGGCATTCATGGCGTCATGATAACGTTATCAAACTCTCATTACATAAGCCATGCGACGGTCAAAGCCAAGAAAAATATAGTGGTCAGATAGTTCATACCTCCAGTTGTCTTCCAATCAATGCTGCTTACGGTGCGATGACGTAATCAAGTAATGACGTATTGGGGGGTATATTTAATGAACAGAGACGTTGTGTCGTCTAGAGAAGTTGTTTTGGCTTAAAGTATACCAACTGATGCAAGCGAGCGTCGTTCGTCTTATCTGATGCTTGCTTCAATATCTTCAAAGATGAAACATTCTCTGCATCCTTTCATTCTCGGAGGGAGGACGGCGTTGGGACCAGCCGGATCATTAGACATGACATTATATGGAAGGGAGTCAAGATAAGCAGCATACGCTTACATTTTTACCTGTGTAAGAAGCTCTCAACTCTGCTTACCTGAATTTATCGCTCGCATCCATTAGTGACCGGCTCGCGCAGGGCTGGATAGCAAATGGGGCTAACACAGAATCAGCCTCCCAGCGAGCAGAGGCCCGTTGTAGCCCCTGCTTTCGCCTTACGTGCCTCGTGGGTACGGCTCATCGCCGGTAGATAGCGGAATTTGTAACATAAGGCCGCATCAGGCTCCAGCCAGGCTCCTATAAAGGCGACTGGGCCTGGGGTTGTCATTTCCTAACTTGGACGTTTCTTTAACGGTTGAGTCTGTGAGATAGCGATAATATAGTTGCACCGGGAAGTTGCGTGCACGACAGCCATAGATTCAAGGATACGACGAAATGTGAGCGTGTTCTTGGGCCGCACCACGCGTCTTCTCAGATAGGAATTCTGCACCATAGCATTTGCTACGTTTCGCTGACTCTTGACTTCTTCAGCCTCTCGTGAAACAAACAAATGTATGGAATGCGCTGATATGTGCAGTTCACGCTTTCTGGCAATCATGGAACAGAGACGTTCCGTACATTTACCTATCATTATTGCGAACTTTGGCAAAATCCAGCGAGTGGCTGTTATAACACGCGTCAGTTCGTACTACATCGATGAGCAGAGAACACGCAACACATGCAAATGAGACGCAACACCAGTTATACACATACGATGTCATAAAAACATGAACGATTTATGATGCAATCAGCACGTGCACGTCATGGCCGCTTGGTCAATTTAGGTAAGCTCTCTGATGAAGGATATCATTTTGTCCTTGAACTCATTGAAGTTTTTGCACTGGCGCGTGGCAGCAGGGAGGAGATTCCACGCCGCTACGGCTCGATAGGGAAATGCCCTTTTCACGCACTCTAAAAGCGAGGGTGTTTTTTAGCGCTCGTCTGCAGTACAGTTTTGTCATCGGTGGTTTTTGTGTGCCGCTGAGATACTTCGGATCGACGCCTGATCAGATTACTGATGGCCTGTGCCCCATCAGGCACGTAAATGGCGCGATGCAAACGTATGCAGTGGCGGTGGGTGACAGTCTCGTCGAAATTGGGCCAATTTAACTGTTTCCAGGATTCCGTGATGTGATCTTATCTGCATTTGCCGGCAACAATGCTGACCGTATAGTTAATTGCCTTATCCAGGTGCTGGCGCTGAACGGCTGTTGTCGGCCCCATGCAAGTAAACAATATCTGATGTGAGGGAAGACCAGTGACTCGATCGGGGACTTTATTGTGGAGCTGGAAAGCACATGCCTAAGCTTGTCAATAGCTATGAGGGAGCCAAAAGCACATGCCTAAGCTTGTTACTAGCTATGAGGGAGCCAAAACAGTGCTGAGTAGATCTGGCTGTTTGATGCTCCAGTTGAGATTTTCATCGATGAGCACCCCCAGTATTTTGAGGTACTCTGAAGAAGACAGCTGGGAGTTAGCAAAATTCACGCTCAGCCCGGCGGCTTTGCGGGTGTTGGTGGGTGTGCCAGCAACAATGAATTCAGCTTTTGGTGGGTTGATCTTCATGTCATTGCGACGAAACCATACTGAGACTGCGGTCAGATTGGACTCAACGCACGAACGCAGTTGTGCGGGACCACGGGCAGATGGTGGTGATTCATGCATGGGCTGCATGTCGTCTACATATGACACCAGTTTACACGTAGCTGACACATAACACTGGATGTCGTTGGTAAAAAGGAGGAGCATCAGCGGTTCTGCTATGCTGTCCTGAACCACGCCATACGCAACCTCAAGACTCGGCCCGTTTCCACCCTTCACAGTCTGTCGGCGGTCGGTGAAACAATCCGAAAACCAGTGTGGTGAAGTACCATAACATTCCAGCTTTGCTAAAAGAGCAGAGTGGTCTACACAATCGAAGGCTTTTGGCAAGTCAGCTGAGCTGATGGTGGTGACCATACTGGCGTCCATGTTGTTGTTTATGCGGCTAACTATATCATTGCATGCTCGGTGGAGCGGTGAGGACGGTTCACGTATTGTGAGTTGACAAGAATGTGGTGACTAGCCACTGTAGCACAGGAGCTATGGACCGAAAAAGATGCATTTGGCATCCATATTAAACTAGCACTCAAAGCATGACTTAATGACGCGCGCGCTCTGGCGACGCTTGCTCAGAACATTGCTAACGGTAAAACAGCAAGAAGCACACTATTGCCACCGCATTATTTCGAATACACCGTTCTGAGATACACTGAACATGAAATCCCAGTTAGTCCGGTGGTATAACACGGTATCCCGACTGTATTATTTTTAACTAATTCGAGGCATCGTTATCAGGTAGGGTTGTTTGGATCGCTAAAGGAATACTTGCTCGGACCATTTTTCTCGTCTGGTGGGTTGGCTTATATCCTGTTTGGTTTGTTTGTTATAGGTTGCTTAATCGTTGAAATTGTACAGGCAGGCTAAACACGTGCACCGCCATGGTTGACCTGGATGGCGTCCGCCGCCCCCCCGCGCCAATGCTCGAAGCTGGTCCTATTATATTCATAGCCTATGATCGAGCTCTTGACTGAAAGCATGGACAGTCGGCACTAAGTGGGCTAGATACGTTAAACCCCGATGGGAGGCCTCTCCCGACACTGATTGAATGGCAATCAACAGGTCTACGCTGCATCGCACCAGCGTGCCGCGAAACTATGGTGCTGCCACCTCGGGTCGCTTCAGTGAAGTCAACATTCGCCGTGGCGGCGCTACGTGTGCGGCGGTGCTGGACAAGACGTCGACGAACGGCTGCGCGCGAGTGTGAGGGTCTGCGCATTCGGTGCACCGGCGTCGCTGATGAGGAGGAGCTACCAATGGCAGACCCGACAATGCCTGTAATGCATTGTTCGTGTCATCGGAGGAATTATCTGAAACCACATTCGTGCAATGAACTATTCGAAATACGTCATTTGCGCTGCTTCGTGTGACCGTGTGCCATGTGTTGCTGCCATACATGATAGAATAGCCCGAGGTGCCGCACATTTATTACACACAGTCAGAGAGATTGTTGAAAAATCAAACAGTTAAATGGCATGTCGAGTCAAGGCAGAGGAGCATCACGACTGACGAGAAGTCAGGTAACATTTTCGTCGCTGAAGTAGGAAGGGTTAAGAATCTGTTGTGCATCGGTGAGTACAATATGTAACGCTTGTCTTGTAACTTCGCCAATGCTGTTGCATGTAAATTGCGCTGACGTAGCTATAAGTGAATGGAAAATCCTGTTGACATTTAAACGCCATTGGTGTGATGCAGGTGATGCGCTGACAGGTGCCAACAGGTGCTGTTGATATTTAAATGCGAAATGGCGAAACCGGCGAAATGTGGGGATGAGCCATCGTTTTGATAGGACGGCAGCACGTGACTCCGTTGCTGTGGTGAGCAACAACCAGCTGCTCACGTGGACCTGCTGAATCCGGTGCCCCGTCTGTCAGGATCGGGACTAGCCCGTGACCTGCTTCATCTGTGGCACCCGTGTGGCCTTCTGAATCTGGTGCCCCGTCTGTCAGGAGCGGGACTAGCTCGTGACCTGCTTCATCTGTGGCAACTGTGTGTGTGTGTGTGCGTGCGTTCGTGCGTGTGTGTGTGTGTGTGTGTGTGTGTGTGTGTGTGTGTGTGTGTGTGTGTGTGTGTGTGTGTGTGTGTGTGTGTGTGTGTGTGTGTGTGTGTGTGTGTGTGTGTGTGTGTGTGTGTGTGTGTGTGTGTGTGTGTGTGTGTGTGTGTGTGTGTGTGTGTGTGTGTTGTACGTGCGTGCGTGCGTGCGTGCGTGCGTGCGTGCGTGCGTGTGCGTGCGCGCGTGCGTGCGCGTGTGCGTGCGCGCGTGCGTGCGTGCGTGCGTGTTTGTTTGGCCTCAACTTCCGGCACAGGGGAGCGACTAGAACGTGCTGGAGCGAGAGGAAGCATCGTGCTTTCGACGCAGACTTATGGCATCGAAGTGGACTCAATCATTCAGTTTTCGAATGTTACGGGAGCACGCACGCTCCCTCTTCTACCTGCGCCCGCTAGCCTGGGACGCTCTCTGGTGGATCTCCCGCGGGGTTGAAACCGGCCGGCCGGGCGGCGGGGCGGCGTCCATCGACGCCATAGCGGGGCCTGTCCGTGAACACACCGCAGGCTATGAAAACAGTGTCCCGTCAGGAACCACCACGCGAGCGACATTCACATCAGAGATCACGGTCTTTCGACTTTTCGAATCTGGTGAACGTTGTCTGAGAGGGTTCAACATCTTGCTAAGATGGTTGTTCAGTCGTGTCAGAAGAGCTTCAGGCCGAGCTGTGCACGTGTAGGTGCGACAGAAGTGGGCCAGACATGTACGCTGAAGTCTCAAATGATGTTTGCCTCTGTGTTCATGACAGGGTTATCTCAGGTATGGGACGTGTTGGCGACTGCATGAGTCGCAGGCACCGATTTTGGTGGCAAGTGATGTGAACGATAATTTTCTTAGTAAACACACGCTCAGCTAAGCCAACACTGCTAAATGCCACTAAGGGTTGCGGTACTTTCTATGGCAGTTGGTCTCCGGCTCATCGCGCACCGTTATGAGGCTCGTAAGACTGCTGCCACGATCCAGGAGAGAGCGGCATCAAATCACGCCACATCGGCTGTTACACCCCACCTATTATGGTCACGGCTCGCTAGGCAAAAGAACGAAGAAGCACTAACATTTTTAATAGTACGAAGACGATACAACTTGGATTTCAGTCCGGATGTGGATTTGTGTCCGGAACGAGTGGATTTCAGTCCATCGGAATCTGATGTAGAGCCATGGAAGCGGTCGTCAGCCGTCGCAGACCGCCCCGCTCGCACGGCGCTGGCACGGCGGGAGCACGTGGGCACGAGTCCGCGCGCCACCTGCGTCGGGCTCGCGCCACCCTGCGGCAGACGCGCACACCGCACTCAACGCCAGCCACTGTCCGATCGCCGGCCGGTGGGCGGCGCTCCCCAGCACCTGTGCCGTGTCGCCACTGTGGTGCACTGGCCGTGCCCGCCTGCGTGCCCTCCGCGACAGCTGACGGGGCTCGATGTCAGTCAGCTGACGACGCAAGCTTGAAGCGACCGAGCTGCGCCGGCCGCAGCGCTCCCGGGAACTGAACTGTGTAGGTTACACGTATTTGCTTCCTGCACCTTGCGTGGCACTGCGGCACTGGCATCCCCCGTCGTTCTGATTGTTTGTGCGGGTGTGACTACGACGCGCCACGTATCCCGGTCGTATTTGATGTGCGTGTTCCCTCTGACGCTTGTGGTGTGCATAACATGTCGTGTGCAAGTGTCACTGTCATGTCGTTTGAAATGATCGTTCGGAGATAAATACATTCAGCGACTGATCAATTTACGATCGAGCCAACAGTCGTTCGTCCACTGCGCGGTACATCGTGCGGTGGCGTACGCGTTTGAAACGGACGGAACAGACAGGGTGAACGCGACAGAACGGACCCGTACGCTCCAGCTCGGGGATCTTCTACCGGGCGTCGGCCGGCGGGCAGGCGCGAGATGTCGCTGACAAAGTCAGCCGGTAGATATGTTCTGACACTAGCTGACCCGCCGGACGACCATCAGACGAACGGTAGGCGGCGGCGCGAGCCGTGTGACGCCTGCTGGGACGTGACGGAGCGTGGGGTCAGACCCGTCCCCGGATCAGGCCGGGCCGAGGCAGGGGGCCGCCGGGGGCGTGCCGTGAGGTATGAGCGCCTTCGCGTCGACGCCAGCTAGACATTCGACCAGGACACAAACGGGTCCGTCTGTACCGATGGCAGTGACCTTGACGGCGACCTTCCGAGGCTGCCTGGCTGGGCCGCGTGTTGGATGCCGGCTCCAGTACGCGGTGCCACCGCCGGACAATACCGGCGCCGCATCATTCTAGCGTCGCGAACCTGGCGGACGCCAGTCGAAACAGGGCGGACCGTGCGTCTTGTCACTTGTTACGCCCGCGCGCAGTGCTAAGTCGCGTGCTCGCCTCATTCGCCTGAAACACTAGCCGCCGCTGCCGGCACCGTGTTCGGCACGTTTCTGAGTATCACTTTTGCATGATCAACACGCAATAAGTAGCTGCCTGCACGTGTATTACAAAATCGTGCACCTTTACGGTGCCCGGATAATGGACCAAGGCACAGACATCTCGACCATTGCTAGGATCCCGGATAAAAATAGGTTCTTGCTTAAATGCACGCAACCATACGCGAAGAAAATGCCAACAGCACGTCATATACCTCTGGAAATTGCATGATGTCTTCAGACAAGCCGAATGTGCTTCGTTTGTACAGTATTGCAGGACTTACCGCGCACCATCATGCCTGATACCTGATAGCTGATACATACCTGATCATGGGAATAGCTCCTTCAAAACCCTTCCGCTGCACTGTGTTTAACATGCTTCATGAGCAAAACCGAGGTATATCCTGAACTCATGGAATGTGACAAAAACTAAACTAATACTACTAAACTTAATACTAAACTTAACTAAATATGAATATACTACTAAACTAAATACAAGACTAAACTAAATATTACTATACTACTAAACTGAATACTAAACAAACTACGCCCCATTCGGTGTTGGCCACGGCAAAGAGTGCCATCTTCCCGCTCTGTGAGTATTGCCATTAACACGACAAAGACTTTGCGCGTACCAATAATGCTTACTATAGGCCCATTGCTACCAAAAAAAGCTACAAAAATGGCGGCCAGATATTGGGCGCGCGACCCGCGGCGATTTGTGTGTAGGAGGCGGGACTGGCCGCCTCCCTCCACCTCTGGACAGAAGGACTCGGCGCACCGGCGCCCACCGCCGCCGGCCTCCAACCGGGCCAGGGGCGGCGCCGCCGGCCCGAACCGCCCGCCGCCGCGCTCTAGTGGTCCGGCAGCATGGTGTTGTCGGCCACTGTGTCCTGGAGCGGAGGCGGAGCCCGGTCAGCGGTCCCGTCCCGCACACCGCTGGTGCGGCCGCGTCCCTGGCGCCGGCACCACGGCCGACCAAATGCCCCTCTAGAGCCGCAGAGCGGCACGTACCTGCCGTTGGCTCCCATGCGTGCGTTATGCGCAACGAATTCACGCAGCTGTTAAACGACCTCAGTTTCATGAGAATATGAGGTGAATGCGGAGCGACAAAAATGATGGCGTTTACGGTTATTCAAGTAGGAAGCGATTATTGCGGTTTAAGCGCATGCAGTAAGGATAAATAACTGCATGCCAGCAATAAATACCGGTCAGCATACCGACGACCGCGGTTTATGGAGGGCCGCAAACTCCGTTCGCCTTTCATCACCAAACATAAATAGCCTCCCACCCACACCTCGTGATTGACGAAAATGCAGCAACCGGAGACGTCTCGTGCGCGTCATCTGTCGGAAAACACAATGCCCGTAGGACGAACATCTGCGGGCTGCGACGTGGGGAAGCATCACCCACTCTACACGCCGCATGCCCGGTAGACTGCGCCTCAACCAGCCATCACTGTCAGCGACCCCCGTCCAACACAGCAGGACGCCTGCCCGCATCGCTCTGCTCCCCGTGCGTACCAGCGCGCCAGCTGAAAACCAATGGTGGCGCGCGTCGCTCGTCCTTCGAGGTCCTCCACCCATCCCTCGTACCACGTGGGGCCCGCTCACACCACACGGGACCCGCTCGCACCACGGGACCCGTTCGCACCACGGGACCCATTTGTATCATGGGATCCACTTGCATCATGGGACCCGCCCGCACCATGGAACCCGCTCGCACCACGGGACCCGTTCGCACCACGGGACCCATTTGTATCATGGGATCCACTTGCATCATGGGACCCGCCCGCACCACGGAACCCGCTCGCACCACGGGACCCGCTCACACCACGGGACCCAGTCGTATCACAGAACCCACTGGTATCATGGGACCCGCTCGTATCATAAAACCCACTCGTATCATGGGACCCACACGTATCACGGGACCTGCTCGAACCATGGGACCCGCTCGCGCCACGGGAGCCACTCGCGCCACGGAACCCATTCGTATCACGGGACCCACTCACACCACGGGACCCACTTGCACCACGGGACCCGTTCGCACTACGGGACCCATTCCTATCATGGAACCCGCTCGATCATGGAACCCACTCGTATCGCGGGACCCGTTTGTATGACGGGAGCCATCCGGACCACACGGGATCCGCTCGTCCCACAGGCACGGCGCCCATCGCCGGCCCGCCTGCGCCACCGCCTGGGCACCGGCGGGCGCGCGCTCACCCTGTTCTGGCGCAGCTGCTCGTCCCAGTCGGTGAGCGCCAGCCGGGGCACGAGCTCGCGCAGCAGCCGCACCACCGAGTCGACGTTGGCACGGAACACGGCCATCACGTCCGCCACGCCCACGCCCGCCTGGTCCGGGCGCCAGCAGTCGTAGTCGGTGGGCATGGCGATGGCCGCGTAGCACAGCCCCGCCTCCTTGGCCAGGGTCACCTGGCGGCGGCGCTGCGTCAGGGCGGCGGCCGGGAGACGTCGAGAATTACCGGCATACGCACGTGGGCCGGACGGTAGACGAGCCCGTGCGACGGTTGTGGTCGAGAGCAGAATCACGCGTGCAGACGGGCACCAAATGACAAGCGTCCAGTACGGGCACGGGAAGGTGTGGTAACAGGGAGCATCGCGCTCTGTGAGCTGGAAACACCAGCCGATGCGGGGTAGGGAGTCAAGACAGGGGGTCACGCCAGCTGGTGTAAATGCACAACACGACCGCAACTCTTTTTCCGCGGAAGTTCACGTTGGCCAACAGACATATTATTACGACTTGTCCGACATCGGCCGCTCCGGCAGAAAAGTTCGTTCGTTCCCCAGCCGGAGTCGAGCCGCCACTGACCTCGGGCACGGTGGTCATGTTGACAACGTCGCAGCCCCAGCTCCGGAACAGGTTACTCTCGGCCTTGGTCGAGAACCTCGGGCCCTCGATGCAAACCGTGGTGCCTGTGGTAGAGACCCGCGTGTAAGCGTGGCACGATCTGCTCTCTCCAAATTTGGAACAAGTCAAAATGGCCCAAGATGGGAACTGATCACGCGGTCTCTCGATCAAGGGCCAAAAGCCGTCAACTATTGGCCCGCTTCTGCGCTATGCAAATAGCACAACACACACACACACACACACACACACACACACACACACACACACACACACACACACACACACACACACACACACACACACACACACACACACACACACACACACACACACACACACACACACACACACACACACCGCATCTGGAGGCGCCTCTGCGCCCGGCCGTCGGTGGAGGGCTATGCCGCTCCCTCTCCGGTCCGGCGGAGACCGAGTACAGACATCAGCGAGGCCCGCTCACCGCTGGGGTGGAGGGTGATGCCCAGCTCGTCAGCCGCCGCCTGCACCACGGCCCGGGTTCGGCCACAGAAGGGCTCGCCCATCGGCAGATGGCAGATGCCGGCGAAACTGGCGCACGTGCCGTCAAAGAACGTCAGCGGCCGCTTGGTGGTCCTGTGGCGAACGGTGGATGTCACGGGCAGCGTGAACGGACCGCAGGCGCCGCTGCCAGCCGATGGTGAGCCTTTGTTTGATTACATCGCCGAGGACTGTGCGTCACAGCCACAGCCCGTATCAGGGGATGACGAGCACTGCTGGCTATGGCCTCGCGACGAAGCTGGCCAGTCTCTCTGCAATGTCCGAGCAGCTCCATGCCCGATCAAGCGAAAGCAATGCCACATCCTCCGGCCTGAAGGTTGAAGGTCTTCTTTGACACCTGTGATGCCTTTGTGCACTACACCAAGCTCAGTAGCGGCCACACCCGGTCCGTAGCCGGGCGGCCGCTGATCGGGCGCCGCTCACCGGTCGATGAACTGGTCGAGCAGCAGGAGCTGGCCGGGCCGGATCTCCTCGCGCAACGAGCCACACGCGGTCGACACGACCAGGTGCGTGCAGCCCAGCTGGTGCAGTGCCCATATGTTAGCGCGGTAGTTGACATGGCTGGGCATTATGGTGTGCTGGCGGCCATGCCTGCCGGAAGAGGATGATGAACAGTGGCACAAGCCAGCACTGCATACAGTTGGGTGAAGCAATTAGGGGCTGGACACAGGGGAAGGCTAGGGAGGAGATGACCACAGGGTGGGTAAGGGGTCACTTTGGCAATTGCAGGTTCATAGGCTTGGAGGCTTTGTTAGCTTATTGGCTTTGTTAGCTTTGTTCACTTTGTTAACTTGATTCTAAAGTTTGATGCAATTTGCCTAAATTGATGTACAATGAGTAATCAAAATGTAGAAAAAAGTTTATAGCTAAAACACAAATGCCAAAAGGCAGCAATAGGAGCATGTCTCTAAGTTAATGCTAAGCACATCAGTTGAAATAGAGGCCTCACAGCCAGTGCAGTCATAGCCAAATGCAGGGGGATATCCAGAATCTAGAACATTAGCTGATTACTGAATTCATTTGTCATGTCCTAGTTATTCCATTATGCATCACCAAAACGGATAAATCCAAACACTTCTCTCCCAACATTCTGTCATGCAAGACCCAAAAAACAATATCACAACCTGGCACTTTTACAAGGCTGTGACAATGTTTATGCAGGTAGCAGCTAGCTAATATACAGAGATGTCACAAAGAGACAAGTTGGTAAGACATCTTACCTGGCTAGCACAGCCACCCTCACACCTGACAAGGTTCCAGTGAGCAGAGGGCTGGAAGGTTTCCCAAAAGGTGTTTCAAGCTCAACATCCTTTGGATCCTGAACACCAAGCACTTCTGGATTTGTAAATCCAGTGCCACCAATGATTCCAACCTGTGGAAAACATCCAATAATTCAGACAATGCATTTAAATGACATCAACTGAACTTTAGACATTAAATCCGGCCAGGGTAATATGGACACCAGACTGCAAAAAAGCATGTGATATCCAACATGTCCAGCATGGTGGTAAAATCACCACAAAAAAATTCAGTGCATGTACACTGATAGTTCAAACACTCAGTCTGTTGCATGCTCGCCACCAATTTCAGCACACAGAGGGACAAGATTCAGGGATTTATGATGATGCTAGGGGAACATTAGGCAAAATTTCCCAAAAAATATTTTGACACAAAAATAACTACAAGCATAGATCCAACACACACCAAACATAGATACCCATCATTTACATGCATGCTTTCTTAGAAACCATTAGCTTGCAGGCCCAATAGTTTACGTTATTTGGGGCTGGGGGCAGAACGGCAACATGACCGATACCTCTCGTTGCCTTTCCACCGAACGTAACTAGTATCTCACCATAAGAGGCCTGTTCGCCATTACTTTTCTTGTAGCCGTATTCTACTGGAAATTTTAGATGTCACCTTCCGTGAGGCGCCACGCGGATCACAACCCCTGCCGCCCAGCCCGAAACGGATCTCCCCACTGGCCAACCCCTTCAAAAGAGCACCGGCCTTCCTCATTAACTTACGAAACGCCATTCCTGCGCGCTATATGTCTCCATTGGGCTGGATCAGCTGATTGTACTTGTGCCCATATTTGACATTGAAAGCGTTCTATATTGAAATTTAGGTACGACGTTATCTCAGTGGGCGGAGCTCGGGTCGTATGTCAATAAGGAATTGGGCGAGCAATCAAACTGAGTTCCACTGCATAACCACTGCAGCAAAACCTCCTATCGGCAGGAGCGTTATAACACTACGTTTTCCGTTAACACTTAAACAGTCATTACAACTACACGACGTTACTTCTGACGCAAAACTGAAGCAGGCATTAGTGCTACGCCACAAAACGTGTACCAAAAAAGTTTGTAAGCATCATTAGGCACCTATAATATAATAATGCAGCAAAATATTTTATTTCGCACTATCAGGCTGGTATTTATCTGGACACATACAGGCATAACAACACAACACACAAGACAAAATATATAGCCATTACCTACACGACTTTACTTCTACTGCAAATACTTATGCGTGACATTAGTGCTGCACGACAAAACTTTGGATTCAAAAACTGATAACCGACATTGACTCTGCTACAAAATCTTGTTATCATCAGCGCTTCAATACACGGCATTACTTCTACTGCAAAAACGTATACACAATATTAGTGCGTCAGCAATGACCTGCGGCCCAGTCTGCTGTAGAGGCAATGACTGGTATGCGTTCTTGCAGTTATGTTTTGATGTCCTAGTACTCTGTCGAGCATGAGTTTTGCAGCGCTAGAAATGTTGTATATAAGTGAGAGCTGCTAAATTAGTATTTGCGGTGGAATAATGACAAGCATATTTTTCAGGAGTTTCCCGTGTATTACACATGTGCATGAGTTTTTGCAACAGAAGTAATGTGGCGCATAAGGAAGACTTATATAAAGTTTTAGCTGCATAAGAAATGACAAGCATGCATTTTTGCAGCAGAGTTTTTGTCGTGTGTAGGTATTTACAGTAGAAATGATGTCGCGAAAAAGTGAAATCTCTTCAAGTTTTTGCAGTAGAAGTCATGTCTCATATAAATGATGTAGCACTCCTGCCGGTAGGAGATTTTGCCGTAGCACTAATGTCGTGACACCATCAAAATAGCCAAAACCCCGCGGAATGTGACCACTAAGTCGCCGTCAATGCTGCAGATAAGGAGGCATCACTGTGAGCCGAATTAGCATGCGTTCACTGCATTTTTTTTTATTGAATTAGCGATGCGTTCGACTATCTTTGTTCATACCATAAAACCCAAATATGCAAGTGGCAAATTTCACACCAGATATGTTACGATTTCAGCGAATCGATCCCAGCCAGCTTAACTTGCAACACATGACAGTCAAAATATGAGACAAGCCATTCTTTATCTAGAGTCAAGTACCTGATTCCCAGCGCCTCACAAGGCTTTGTCCTAGCCCTCGAGCCTTTCACATGACAGCAGACCATGATAAGTTTAGACGCAGGTAGTGCAATACTCAGATAAGTCCAAGATGTTGTCATTAGTGTGAAAGGCTAGGGCCCTGGCCTGATTTTTGGCATAATCAGCGGAATTGCTTTTCTAAAATCGGTCTGGGGGCTCAGCCAAAAAGGTCGACCTAACCTACCCCCAACACCTGATTTTTCCACGGATCTTGGTCGCTTGCATTTACGTCTTGATATAAAAAGCAAAGCATCTTAGCACAGCAAAAACAAGCATCTTTCTCACTTCTATCAAGGTATCACTGATGACTACCGTTGTTGCTCATCGTGTTGTATAACCACCACGGCAACAATCATAAAACAAATGCTTTTGCCACTTTTCGGGTAAACATGCGTTGATTTCTGTCTAGGCCCGCTTGTACTTTTAAAAGCTGTCACACATTGCACTCAGTTGTTCTTGTCCAGCCGTCATCATTTGACAAAGTGAAACATTTCCAGGCTGGGTTATTAAATGAAGGAACAAAAACTTTGGGAACCAACAAGATACTATTTTGTACGAAATTGGTATGATACCAATTGTAATGTATTTCGATAACCGTTGCCTGGTACACCAGAGGTCACGGATGTCGATTTGTATTCTTTTGTGAGGACTCTCGCCTTCCTTATGTTGAGTTCTACTCCCCCTACCCCACTTTCTCAATGCTGGCTTGATCTCCTCCATGCAATTCTTTTTTGCCCTGAAATATTACAAAAGCTCAGGGAAAAGTTGGCAATGACGCAGCCAATATCTTCCGGGATTTTCATGATGGCATAGCCATGGAGGATGCATCAGGTTAATTTGACCCCGCAACCTCAAAATTAGTTCATCAAAATTCTGGGTAACTAGAGACATTAGCGATGGAGCATTTATATTTGGTATTTGTTTAAGTTGTGTCTTTCAAACATAAACACGGACGCTTTTTCTCCCCCCCCCGTCCGAACACGATATTGACGTCATTAATTCACCCGTCTCGTGGTCTCTTTTATGAGACATTAAAGACGTTTGGTCCCCTACCCATGGTTGAGTACATCCCTAACATAGTTTTAGTTAAAATTGAAACCCGAAGTGCTTGGAACGTCTCATGAGAAAACAAAGTCGGGTTACATATTTTTGGCGCGGCATAGTTAGTCCAGATTAAAAGTTCAGTTCAGCTGCAAATGATAAACAGTATGTTAAACGAACATTTTAAATGAACAGATCTTTGATCTGATTCTGTGCAGAACATAATTTGTTGCCAGCACTCTGAACCCACCATCAGAGGCGTATGAACGTTTCAAAAAGTGGGGGCCAAGGTCAGGGCGTACTTCAGGGACTTTTCTGGAAAACAAGCCCGATGACCGGGAGGGGGGGGGGGGGGTAGAGATGGAGGTTATCGCTCTTTATTCAAATGTAATGACTTCTATTCTAGATACGCGTCTGGAGCTGTTTCTCACCGGTGCAAACTCTTCTCTGTCCGACTCGACTGTGTCACTCGGCGAATAAGGCTATCCAGCTTTCCAAGATTATTCGTCTATTTCAATGTTGTCTTTCCTGGGGAGGCGAAACTCCACGAGCGGGTGGGCATTTTGGGCGATTGATGAGGCATCTGCCTCCACAGGGTAAATGACAAAGTATGGCCTGGGCATAGGCTGCCGAGAATTTTAAAAGTGAAGCGATGGCTCACAGTGCAACAGATTTTGCATGTGGCTTCATTTCGCTGGCTGCTTTTCAAGAAATAAGACTTGTCGCGGCATTTTAGGCGGAAGCAAATTCGGAAGCTTGGAACTGCCAAAAACTATGTGACAAAAGTGATAGAACTGGAGATTCTCCTTTGAAAACCAAGCCACAGAATGAAGGCCTTTTTGACATATATTCGTTGCCTGAGCCCTGCTCCTGTCCGCCGCCGGTGGCCACTGTCCAGGCCCGGCTGTCTCCGAATGACTGATCGCGAACTGGTGGTATGGCTGCTTTGCTGCACATTTCTGGATCAGCATTGCTACTATTGGGATGTAAAACATGTGTTGGACACCTGCAACAGTGCCTTTTTCCGACTTATCTTCCTTTACACCGCATCACCCCAGAAAAATGCCTCTGGGAAGCTGCCTACTTTAGGTAGGAATCGGCCCAACGGACATTTAATTGCCCGTCATTCAACGTAGATGTCTTGATCTTCTTTGTGTGTAGGCAGGGGGTAACCAGAGCCTTGCTAAGAGGAACACAGGGTTGGCAAAAGTCCCTCCCATGGTGTTTCCCCCCCCCAAAAAAAACCGTCTATAGTTTACTTGTTAACGAGGGATACGGTTTTCCTCGTTTCATTGTTATATTTACGTTTTAACCAGAATAAAATCCAGAAGCTACCGTGAGGTCCATTTTGTCTACGTTTTTAAGGTTAATAAACTGCAGAAATCAGGCCTTTAACGACCGCATGGAATAAATCACCGGTGCCCTTAATTTACGACGGCTTAGTAGACTCTTTCTAAGCCGATAGAATTCAGAAACTTTTTCATAATGTTTTATCCGCGTGCCGCAGACAATGAGGATATCGCAAAGGTAGATTGTGGATCGATATTTTTGATCGAAATCTGAGGGTGGAAATTTTGATTGTGGATTGAGTCATCAACAATGTGCATAAACATCACCAATCCATGTTTGGCTGGAAATGTTAAGCATTCAGTCAAAACCGATTAGTGATGCAATTCAAATGACGTGGTTCTTAGCATGCGTGATCGCAAATCTTAGCAACAAAAACGTCGACACCAAGCGTTGCAGTCTCCAAAGCCCGCGGAGCACCAGCTCAGCGGTTAATTTTTCCCCATGGTCCACTGGTGGACGAAAATGATAACAGCTATGAACTAATAGCCCTTATACACTTATTCATTAGTAATAAAAGTCACGTCACATAATTCTGAGCACGCATACTCGCAAATCTTCGTTAAAAAGCCTCGCCGCCAGACTTTGCAGCCTCCCTAGGCCGCGCAGCGTCGGCCTAGCCGCTAATACTGAGCTGTGGCCAACGGATGGACGAAAATGATGACGCTTCTGAAAGAAGTACTTTTGAACGCTTCATGACATCAAATCTTACATCTGCAAGACGGTCTGGGCACATACTTCACGTGTGCGATTTTTAGACTGATGATAAGAACGGACTGGCCCTTGAAGTACCGCGAAGTGGTGCCGGGATCTGGTGGTGGAGCTAAAACAGTTCACGTAGATTCTCTGTTTTTGTGTTTCTAAAACTATTAATCTGTCCAGAAGACATATTAACACAGCACCCGACGTCTGGTAGCACTTGCAGTGGCCGACACCGTTCATTTTTACGGCAGCTTCAACATCGACCATCGCTATCGTTGCTCTCGAAGTTGCGGGCGGGCATGTTCAAACCTTTTGAAGCATTTTTTCACTAATCCGTCCCGAAAAATGAACGTTATCAGGCCAACGTGGAAAAGCCTTGTTCTTTTAAAAAAAGGAAAATCATTTCGACCCACCCTATTCAACAATGGCAC